AAATGAGATTTTTCGGATCAAAATTTGAAAAGTTCAGAGATTTTCATACTTGTAACGGGCCGGGTCGGGCTTTTTCCCGAATTTCGGAGGCCCGGCCCGGCGGGCCTGTTATTCCACAAGCTTTGAAATTTTCAAAAAACACATAAGGGGGGGACCCTTATGTGATTTTTTTCGATCAAAAAAATTTTTTTCGAGTTTTTTAAAAATATTTTTTGATCAAACAGGCAAACAATCCAAAAAGCACAAAAAATATAAAAAATTGTATTGAGAGCTCAAAATTCGGTTCAAAATGACAAAATTTTTGCTACCGGGCCCGGGCCTTGAAATTTTCCTCAGGCCCGGCCCGGCCTGGATTCCGGGCTCGGGCTCTGGCGGGCCGGCCCGGAATTTTACAAGTATGGAGATATTGCTTTGAAATAGTCGGAACTAATATTGATCGGAAATTTTGGAAATTTTCAGAAAAATGAGATTTCCAGTTGAAAATGACTAGTTTTGAGCTGAAAATCTCAAAAATCTGCCTTTTTGAGCTGAAATTTAGCTGCAAGTTGACTGAAAATTTGGCTTAAATCTGAGATCCCGAAAATTCTCTGAAAATTTCGCTGAAAATATCCGAAATCTGCATTTTTGTGACAAATTTTTTGTCTTTTTTGAGCTCAGAATTTAGCTAGAAAAATCAATTTTTCATCACAAAATCTGTCTTTTTTTAATCTGAAAATTTGTCTAAAAATCTCCGAATTCTGTCTTTTTTGTGCTGAAAGTTTAGCTGAAAATCTCCGAAATTGATCTCTTTCGAGCTGAAAATATATTCAGAACACTATGAATTTGACAAAGATGACCAAGACGATGTATATAATCCACATGGTCATGTTTCAGACATGCCAGACCTTGAGGACAACGAGGAGGAAGAGGGAGACGAGGGAAAGGCCGAGATCAAGGCTTAAACGACTTCCAGATCCATTGAAATCCTAAATTTCCCCAATAAATAATGCATTCGTTAATCTTTAATTTAATTTCTTTTTTTTCTCTTTTTCTCCTTGAAATTCCCCGGATTTTTCAACAGTTTGTGAACGTCTTTTCCGTATCTCATTCACACAGATTCTGTTATTCTATTCCCCATTTTTCTATTGTATCCCACACCTCATTTTCCATATATAATTGTTTTTGATCTTTATAAGTAAAGTGATATCTCCCCCCCGAAAGAAAAAATACTCGAAAATTTTGGATTTTTTAGTGTTGTTGACTCCTCAAATTCTATTCTTCTTTGTGTTTTTTCTCGAAATCTGAAAAATATAAAAAACTTGAAGAAAATGGCTCACCTGGTGTGCCCGATGTGCAGTGAGACGCTCAGCGAGGAGGGCTCTCACTTTTTCAAGCATTTTAAATATAAGCAAGTGTTTTTGTTTGAAAAAAAAACTAAGAATAACCAAATTTGGGATTTTCTAGGAGATATGCATGCGGAGAGAACGATTGTACGCATCAATTCTATACAGAAGCCGAGAGAAATGCACATTGCTCGGCGAATAATCATAAAAGATCGTTTCAGGTAAAAAATGCGGTTATTTTGCTCTAAAAAACGAGTTTTCCGGCTCAAGTTGGCGGATTTGTCTGAAAAATCGCAATTTTCAGTTCAATTTTGCTCTGAAAATGAAAAATGAGTTTTCTAGCTCAAAATATCAATTTTTAGCTCTATTTTCCTTTAAAAATTGAAAAAGTTTTCGACCTTAAAATGCTTAATTTTCGCTCAAAATTCGTTAAAATCCTCTGAAAAATTGAAAATTTCACTCAAAAATTCCACTAAAACTCAATTTTTGCTGCGATTCCATAAAAAGTGGAACTTCGCTCTAAAAATTCGAAAAAAAGACAATTTTTCAGTCGAAAAACACTAAAACTGACGTTTTTGATCTGATAGTGAAAATCAGCAATTCTAGCGCCCAAAACTTCAGAAATAACTCTAAAAATTCAGCAAAAATGAAATTTTGAGCCTGCATTTGCTAGTTATTCGCTCAAGTTTTTCTAAAAAGTGATTTTCAGCCCCCACTGTATCCCGAAAAACTTCAGACATTACTCTAAAAATTGAATTTTTCAGATTAATGACCTTTTTAAAGTGTAAAATGACTATTTCAGACTATTTAAGAGCTCAAAAAAGCGGTTTTCAGCTCCCAAAAATCATAAAATCAACGATTTTTTTTCCAGAAAACAGTGAACTCATACATTGATCGAATTTCAGCTTAAAGTTGGCCATTTTCAGCCAAAAATCACCTGTTTCAAGCCTAATTTTTCATACTAAAAATGTCCAGTTTTACTCGGAAAATTTCACAAAAATGAGATTTTCAGCCCCAATTCCATAAAAACGAGCTTTACTAGTGTAAAATGACTACTTCAAAGCTCAAAAAAGGGATTTTCAGCTCTAAAAAGTCCAAAATCGACGATTTCTTATTTCCAGAAAACAGTGAATCCATACATTGATCGAATGATCACCCAATTGGTAGAAGACGCGAAACACTTGGCGATGACGAATGATATGGAAGTAGTGATTGCGAATCGTTGGGGAGGAGGAGGAGATTCTGAATCTCACTCTGAACTTCTGAAGACGTCAGAAGTGGTGAAGCAGAGAAAGAAGAGAGTGACGTCGTCGTCGTCATCTACGATGACTCCAGTGACCAAGAAGACGAGAACGACGCCTGCTGTGAAGATTTCCACGTCTCCATTCGCCTTTTTGAGCAGCAGCACCACCACTTCTGGAGCAGCGTCTTCTTCTTCGAATATAAAGTATGGATTTTCGAAATTTAGGAATTTTAGCGATTTCCAGTATCTTAATCTCAAAATTGGCTGGAAAAAAACAAGAAAAAACGAAAAATAACCCCATTAAAGGTCTAAAAATGGCCTTGAATAGCCTAAAATTGACTGATTTTTACGATTTCTTCTAGCTAAAATTGAGAAAAAATCCATTGAAAGCTCACTATTTTTGGCTGAAAATGCTGAAAATGCCAAAAAACTGGCTTTAAATAAACTGAAAAATCACTGAGGATCACTGAATTTTTGGCTGAAAATTACCTAAAAATCTCACTACTTTTGGCTGAAAAACACTGAAAAATTAGGGAAAAAACATTGAATTTTTAGCTTGAATTTTTAGCTTTGAAAAATCCCCGCAAATCCTCAAAAATTACAAATTTTGCAACCAAAAAAATTGAAAAATCTCCTATTTCCACCTGAACATTGCTCCATTTTCGCCAAGTTTTTCCTGAAAAATGCACTTCTGGAAACCTCAAAAATCATGAATTTTCGAAATCTGAGCAATCTAAAAGTGCCCATTTTCAGTTACATAATTTTTGGTTAGGGTTTGATAAGAAAATCCATTTTGAGCTTCAAAAAATTATGATTTTTATCGATTTTGAACGAATTTCAGCTCAAAAAAGTCATTTTTCCTTCTAGAAACCTTCTGAAAATTCATGAAAACCCAACCATAAAATAATTAAAAACCCTAAAAATAATTAAAAAATCACGATTTTCAACCGGATAATTTGGAAAAACCCCTCATTTCCAGCATTTTAAAAATCTAGAAATTGACCGTTTTTTGCCTAGTTTCACTGAAAAATTCACTTCTAGAAACCTGAAAATTCCCCATTTCCAGCCCTCCGACTCCGCCCACTCCATCCCCAACCGCCACCGTCCAACCAGCCCCTTCTTCTTCGGCAATAGTGGATTCAACGACTTCAGATCACAATATCCCGATTCCACCAGCACCTCCACCGCCTACCACACGAAAACCAAGAAATCAGAGACAATCGGAGAGCTGCTCAACTGGACCACACAATCAGACGTACGAGGAGATGTCGGCACTGGATAAACTGATTGGATGGTTCGATCCGAATGTTCCAGAGAGACAGGATGCTGCCAAAATCAAGTGCTCAGTTTGTCACAAGGAAATAGTCTATGATTATAGTTAGTTTTCGCTGGAAAATGCCCGGAATTTCGGTTGAAAGTTGGAGAAAAATAGCAAAAAATGACATTTTCCTCTACTTTTCAGCTTTTTTTTCGCATTTTTCACAGCCAAAAACTGAAAAAAAAGTTAAATGTGGAAAAAAATGGCTTTAAAAAATACGAAAATTAACTGAAAATTTGGCTGGAAATGCTCGAAATTCTGAGAATTGGCTGAAAATTTGGCTCAGAATCGGAAACTCCGAAACTGGCTGAAAATCTGAAGGTATGAAAATATAGCTCAAAATTTGAAATTCCTAAAATTGGCTGGAAATGAGTATTCCTTTTTTTGCTGAAAATTCTGTAAATTGGCTGGAAATTTGGCTGAAATTTTGTGAATTGGCTAAAAATTTAGCTGAAAATCTCCAAAATATGTTCCTAAATTCAGAAAATTTGGCTGAATTTCGCTCAAAATCTGGATTCTTTGAGCTGAAATTTAGCTGAAAATCCAAAACTCTGAAGGTTGGCTGAAAATTCGGCTCAAAAAATCTGAAATTCCGAAGATTGACTGACTGAAAATCAAGCTTTTTAAAATGCTCAAAATCAATTTCAGCTTCATTTTGCCTGATTTTTCAAAATTGGACTTTAAAATTTGGAATTTTGGCTGAAAATTACCTGAAGATTTCGCTGAAAATCTCCAAAATCTGTAAATTTTTCAGTCATCCGCAAAGGACACGTCACCAGAGATCACATGGCGGCCGATGTGGCACCACAGGACTACGATGACATTCTGAAGAGTACGGTAAGCGAACCAGATTTTCAGATTCACCGAAAAAAAGGATTTTGGAGGAAATTTGGGTTAAAAAATAGCGATTTTTAGCTTCAAAAATGCTGGAAAAGCTCCTAAAATGCTAGAAAACGCAAATTTTTGAGCTCGAATTTGCCTAAAAATAGATGCAAAATGTCTGAAACGAAACGGGCCAAAAATGGTTCAAAAATCAGCCAAAAATGATCCTAAATTGGCCAAAAATGGTCCAAAATCGGTCAAAATTGGGCTAAAAAGCCTAAAATCGACCTTCTTCTCTAAAATCCCATTTCCAGATGGACCGATGCTACCCGGAAATGCCAAACTCGAGCCTTGCATGTCAACTATGCATGACTGGGTCGGATGTTCGTAAAACTCTCCGTCGTGAGCACATTGAGAAGTTCCATACGACCAGTTTGCCACCACTGACGTGTCCGTTGGACGGCTGTGGAAAAGGATTCAGAAGACAGTGCGATTTGAGTTCTCATATGAAGGAGGTAGGGCCGCAATCTATAGAAAAATGAGTAAAATGAGCCAAAAAAAACCCTGGAAAAATGAGTCAAAACATACATGTCACACTTTCATGAATGAGAGGCCAAAAATCTGACGAGCTACAAATTTTAGGCCATTTTTTTACCTTTCCAATTCAAAACTTGAAATAAAAATCTTTGTTTTTCACATTAGACCTCTACCAGTCGGTTTGAGCCCCCTCGGGGGCTCAACCTCCTGGCTTTCGTTCACTGTATCTTACACTTGAATTTCTAAAGTCTAGATTTTCCACTTTTCCGAGTGCCTGAAACTTCCAAGTATTTCGATTTTTAAATTTTGGATGTTACTAATATGGGAATTTCTAGATAACGTAATTTCTCCAATAGAAGCCCACATCTATTTGATGCCCACCTCTGATAAAACAGACGTACTTTTTTTTCATTTTCCTGATAATTTCTGTTAAGTCTTGTCGCTTTTTTGAGAAAAAAGATATCCGATTTTCTGAATTTCCGAGTTTCTACATGACAGAATACATGTTTCTTGAAAAGGGAATACAATTGTTTGATTTTCTAAAGTCTCGAATTTCTAACCTAAAATCCTTAATTGTTTCCGAATTCCTGAAATTTTGAATTACCCACATACATCAATATTTCTAAGCCTTTGGTTCGAGATCACAATGAAAGTATAGAGAAAAGGTTGCAATATTTTTGTAGAGAAAGCTAAAATTTGAGAAAGTTCGAGACCCTCATTTTTTGGAATTTTTTGGAATATTCTTGAACTTTTCTAGAACTTTCATGAATGTTTTGTGTCTTTTGGAGTTTTCTGCTTTTTTTCTAGAAGTTTTAGTATTTTCTGGAATTTACTGGAATTTTCTCAAACTTTCTGGAATTTTCTGGAACTTTCTGGAATTTTCTAGAATATTCTGGAGTTTTCTAGAGTGTTTAGGAACTTTCTAGAATGTTCTGAAAATCACTATTTTTGGCTGAAAATGGCTGAAAATCCCAAAATTTTTCCAGATTCACAAGGCAAGAATGTCGATACACAAGGACCAAACGTTCCAAAACATTCGCCGTCGTCGGAACGGAATGATCAACGAAATGATCAACAAATGCTTCCCGTGGTCTAGTTTGGAGGCGATGGAGAATAAGGCCATTGCATTGGTAGGCGATTTACAGCTAATTGTGGACTTTTAGGCTGAAAATCTGCTGAAAAACGAGATTTTCAGACAAATTTATAGCTGAAAATCGTGAATTTTGGCACTAAATTATGCTCAAAATGTCTTGTTTTATGTCAATATGTCAATTTTAGACGATTCTGTATGAAATTTGGATTTTTGGGCTTCAAAATTGGTGCAAATCACATGTTTGAACACATTTCAAGCTGAAAATCTTTATTTTTGACCCGAATTCAAGCTTACAATGAGTTTTAGACTAGGTTTAAGCTAAAAATTCCGCGTTTTCACTTGAAAATTCGGGCCTTTTGACCGATTTTATGCTGAAAATGGCGATTTTTGATCTTGACTGGCTTGAATTCATGCTCAAAATGATATTTTGGATTGATTTTCCGCGGAAAATCACGATTTATGACCTCGATTTACGGATTTTTGCTCAAATGGAACTAAATTCTGAACTATTTTAAGCTTTACAATGGCAAGTTTTCTTCATTTTAGGCCCAAATTGTTGCTCAAAATGACATTTTTCAGCTGAAAATCGCGGTTTCGGCTTGAAAATCGGAATATTGGGCACAAAATTTGGTCCAAAACGATTTTTAGGCGGATTTTAAGCATAAAATTCCGCGTTTTGACTTGAAAATCCGCTCAAAAACACATTTCGAGCTTGAAGACGTATGTTGAGCTGAAAATCTTCATTTTCAACCAAAATTCTGCTTAAAAGGGCCTTTAGACCGACTTCACGCTGAAAATGGCGATTTTCGACTTGAATTGGCTTGAATTCATGCACAAAATGATGTTTTAGACTAATTTTGGCTGAAAATCGCGATTTTTACATGCATTTACATGCTCTAATTGAATTTGGCAAGAAAATTAGTCAGAATAGTCATTTTTGACAAATGAAGTGCTGAAAGTCCTTATTTTAGGTCCGAAATTGATGCTCAGAATGACATTTTTGACTGATTTTGAGCCGAAAATCGCGATTTCGGCTGGAAATCGGCTCAATATGACTTTGAGCTCAAAATTGCCACATTTGGCACGAAATTTGGTACAAAACGATTTTTAGGCGGATTTTAAGCTGAAAATTCCTATTTTTGACTTGAAAATCCGCTTCAAAATGCCAATTTCAGAGCCTAATTTTCGAAATAGTTACAGAACAAAAGCGCCTCCTCTACGCCATCACTCGCGACGCCGACGGATTTGTCCAAAGATGTGCGACTCAGAGATGCTAATGTAAGGATTTTGCTGAAAACTGGACGAACATGGAAAATGACCTGAAAACACCGTGAAAATTCTTAAATTCTTGCTCAAATTCGAATTTCTCTGGAATTCAATATTAAATTCAAATTTCCAGAAGACCCGCCGCGCTCCACAATACAACACCACCGGCTCCTCGTCGTCCTCGTCGTCATCAGATTCAGAAGACGAATCGACGACACTGGCTACTGTAGAAGATCCAAACGGCACGCCAATCGACTTCTCGCGTGACGTCATCTACATTTGTCATCAATTCAACGCAGAAGTCACTCAGAAGTTGTCAGAACGAGCCGCGCCGATGCTTGTGAAGCGGGAGGCACGTGCTGAAGCCGTCGTTCTTAACGATGAACCGATGGAGGAGGAACCAGAAGACGACGTCAAAGAAGAGGAGGAACAACGGGAGGAGATGGAAGTTCCCAAAGTTGAAGACGTCGTTCAGAGGTACAAAAAAGCCTTCAGAATGGCAAAAAATTGAGGGAAAATAGCCCCAAAATAACCTCAAAAATCTGGATTGCTCATTCTAAAATCTAGGTCCTAGATCTCAAAAATATGCCAAATTTTTAGCTCATTTTCAGTCTGGTTTGACTAATTTTAAGGCTGTTTCCGTATTGCTCAGCCTAGAATCATCCTAGAATTCTGGCTCTAATCACTCCAGTTTTGCTCGAATTTTGCCTATTTTGACCCTAAAAATATTCCTGTTTTATTCAGGCCATTTGCAGTCTGATTTGTCTCATTTCTAGGCCATTTTTTGATTTTTTTCGCACATTGCTCAGCCTAGAATCTCCCTAGAATTCTGGCTCCAATCACTTCAGTTTTGCTGGAATTACGGACCTATTTTAGATATAGTTTTAAGCTAATTTTTAGTCTGATTTGGCTCATTTTTGCATTGCTCAGCATAAAAAAGCCCCCGAAATCTGGCTTTTATCAGCCTATTTTTACCCAAAAATGTCATATTGCTCAGCCTAGAATTTATCAAGAACAAGACTTTATTCATATCATTATCACACAATAAATCAGTTAGCATCACTCCTTGCTCGCCACGGCACTCGACTTCTCTTCACTCGCCTTCTTCTGCTTCTGATTTTGATTCTGATTCTTTTGCTCATCACCCGCCGACGGTTGCGTGGCTTCTACCTTCAACGTCTTCTCATCATCGTTGAATCCTTTGAGACGCGCTTTTTCGAACATCGGAACCGCCTCCTCTAGTGTAATGTATTGCTTATCTTTGGGCGATTTGAAACCGTCCGGGATGCGTTTCGCGTCGCTGGAAATAAGGGTTTCTCGTTAGTAAGAGGTTAGAATGAGCTCGAAAATAGGTCAAATGGCCTGAAATTCGTCCAATTTCGGCCTGAAAAGGTTAATTAGGTCTGAATCAGCTCGAAAATCGCCAAACTGGGTCCGAAATTAGGTCAGAAATCGGTCATTTTTAGCCGATTTTTGGGGGGTCAGAAATGGGGTTTTCCAGTCATTTCCAGCCAAAATCCCCGAGATTTCTTACCGCTTGACCGGTGGCACCACCGGCGGTCCCTTTCCCATGCTAATCGCTCGTTCGGCGAGCTTCTTCAGTTCGGACATGTTGTTCTCGTTGTGATCCTCCGATTTCCTCTCGGCTTCGCTTTTTTTCTGGAAGAATTTTCGGTTGAAAATGACAGAAAATGAGTTAAAATACGCCATAGAGCATATAATAGACCAAAAAAGAGTCATTTTTGGCTAAAAATCATTCAAAAATGAGAAAAAATGGCCGAATTATGTCATAGAGCATATATCCCATATATAGTGCCATATAGAGCGTTTTTTTTTTTTGGCTTAAAAAGAGGCAAAATAGGTAATAGAGCATATGAAGTGCCATACAAAGCACTAAAAATTCACCTCTTTCGACATTTTCTTCGATTTGCTGTGTCGCTTGTCCGCGGACTGAGCGGTCGCGGACCGCGTGGCCGGCGTGGCCGTGGCGGCCGGTGTGAACGAGGAGGCCATCATCGGAGGACCACCACCGGGCGGATTCGGCGGTTGGCCAATGATACGTGTCGAACGAACATCCTTCTGTTTCTTTTTCGTGACACACATATCTTGATCTGCAAATTTTCGTGATTTTTGAGATTCTGGGAGCCCTAGAAAGCAAGATTTATATGCCCAAAAATTCCAAAAAACTAGCCTAGAAATCTGCAAGAATGGCCTAGAAACCTCAAAAACTAGACATGGCCGAGCTCTGAAATCTGGCATTCAGATGGCCTAGAATTCCTGGAAATCCTAGGCCACCCCTGCCTTTCCTTCAAAGACTCACACAATTGGAAGTAGATCTATTATTGAAAATTGTGTGTAAATTGAGGCTTTGAAGAAACAGAAGACTGCCTTTACTCTATCTAAAATTGAACTATCGGCGATTGTTCATTCATCGGCTCTCTTATAAGACCCCTCAATCCCAGTGATTTGGAGCCACTGATAAGAGAAAAGTAGATCAGTAGGAGAACACGCATGAAATACCGAGCCTTTTTGCCGTGAAAATGGTGACCTAGAAATCTAATTATTGGGATTCCTGGTCCCCCGGATTATGGGCTAGAAATCTCAAAATCCTTCCCTAAAAATCATTTTAAACTTGGCCTAGAAATCTCAAAAAAAGGTGGCCTAGCAGTCCCTAAAACCTGGCCTAGAAATCCAAAATGCCCCATGGCCTAGAAATCCCTAACAATCTGGCCTAGAAATCTCACGAAAAAATCACAAAAGAATGACCTAGAAATCGTTAAAAACCTGACCTAGAAACCCTTCTGAAAAGCCATAAAATCCCTAGAAGAATGACCTAGACATATTCAAAAATCTGGTCTAGAAATCTCAAAAAAGTGGCCTAGAAACCAAAAAAGTCTAAAGATCCCAAGGAGAATGGCCTAGAAATCCCCAAAAACTATGGACTAGAAATCCCTAAAAATCTGGCCAAGAAATCTCAAAAAAGTGGCCTAGAAACCAAAAAAGTCTAAAGATCCCAAGGAGAATGGCCTAGAAATCCCCAAAAACTATGGACTAGAAATCCCTAAAAATCTGGCCAAGAAATCTCAAAAAAGTGGCCTAGAAACCAAAAAAGTCTAAAGATCCCAAGGAGAATGGCCTAGAAATCCCCAAAAACTATGGACTAGAAATCCCTAAAAATCTGGCCAAGAAATCTCAAAAAAGTGGCCTAGAAACCAAAAAAGTCTAAAGATCCCAAGGAGAATGGCCTAGAAATCCCCAAAAACTATGGACTAGAAATCCCTAAAAATCTGGCCTAGAAATCCTGATAATGTGGCCTAGAAACCAAAAAAGTCTAAAGATCCCAAGGAGAATGGCCTAGAAATCCCCAAAAACTATGGACTAGAAATCCTTAAAAATCTGGCCAAGAAATCTCAAAAAAGTGGCCTAGAAACCAAAAAAGTCTAAAGATCCCAAGGAGAATGGCCTAGAAATCCCCAAAAACTATGGACTAGAAATCCCTAAAAATCTGGCCAAGAAATCTCAAAAAAGTGGCCTAGAAACCAAAAAAGTCTAAAGATCCCAAGGAGAATGGCCTAGAAATCCCCAAAAACTATGGACTAGAAATCCCTAAAAATCTGGCCAAGAAATCTCAAAAAAGTGGCCTAGAAACCAAAAAAGTCTAAAGATCCCAAGGAGAATGGCCTAGAAATCCCCAAAAACTATGGACTAGAAATCCCTAAAAATCTGGCCAAGAAATCTCAAAAAAGTGGCCTAGAAACCAAAAAAGTCTAAAGATCCCAAGGAGAATGGCCTAGAAATCCCCAAAAACTATGGACTAGAAATCCCTAAAAATCTGGCCTAGAAATCCTGATAATGTGGCCTAGAAACCAAAAAAGTCTAAAGATCCCAAGGAGAATGGCCTAGAAATCCCCAAAAACTATGGACTAGAAATCCCTAAAAATCTGGCCAAGAAATCTCAAAAAAGTGGCCTAGAAACCAAAAAAGTCTAAAGATCCCAAGGAGAATGGCCTAGAAATCCCCAAAAACTATGGACTAGAAATCCCTAAAAATCTGGCCAAGAAATCTCAAAAAAGTGGCCTAGAAACCAAAAAAGTCTAAAGATCCCAAGGAGAATGGCCTAGAAATCCCCAAAAACTATGGACTAGAAATCCCTAAAAATCTGGCCTAGAAATCCTGATAATGTGGCCTAGAAACCAAAAAAGTCTAAAGATCCCAAGGAGAATGGCCTAGAAATCCCCAAAAACTATGGACTAGAAATCCCTAAAAATCTGGCCTAGAAATCCTGATAATGTGGCCTAGAAATCCAGGCTCCGCGACGTTTCGAAAGTGCGACGTTTCGAAAGTGCGACGTTTCGAAAGTACGGGAATTAATGCTTTGAAAGCTTCAATTATACAAAATTATGTTCGAAATACCATTTAAACACCCAAATACAAGTTTTTGCTTTTTGTTCCATGCAAAAAAGCGCAAAGCTGTTACTTGCGAAACGTCGCGGAGCCGAAATCCAAATATTGAGATTCCTAGTCCCCCGGATAATGGGCTAGAAATCCCAAAAATTGGCCTAAAAATCCTAAAATCTGGCCTAAAAATCCCGAAATTTGGCCTAAAAATCCCGAAAATTGGCATGAAAATCCCAAAATCTGGCCTAAAAATCCAAAATTTGGCCCAGAGAGCCTAAAAATCACAAAAATTGGCCTAAAAATCCCAAAATCTGGCCTAAAAATCACAAAAGAGAAATCGTTAAAAACCTGGCCTAGAAATCCTTCTAAAAAGTCTAAAAATCCCTAGAAGAATGGCCTAGAAACCCCAAAAATTATTGGTCTAAAAATCTCACAAAAATCTGTCCAAGAAATCCCAAGAAGAATGGCCTAGGAATCTCTAAAAAATTGGCCTAAAATCCCAAAAAAAAAGTTACCTAAAAATATCAGAAAAATTGGCCTAGAAAACCTCAAAAAACTGGCCTAGAAATCCCAAAAACTCGGCCACTTCTAAACAATGAGTTTCAGCCCACAAGTGTACGGTAACGGGCCCCGATCTCCATACGAACCGATCGTTCCACCGCCATCTGAATCACCACCGGATCCATTGAATTCACGTGTCGAATCATCGGCAGTCTATTCTACGGAGAGAACTGATTATCGGTAGGTATTCTGAAAGTACCGTAATCTGAAAAAATCTGAAATTTTGGGCTGAAAATTGAAAAAAATTACTGAAAATGAATCTGAAAATCGATTTTAGCAGAATTTTCATTCTAGAAAATACTATGAAAATTCGAATTTCTGATCCAGAATGACAAATCTACAGTAATCCAAAATTATCGATTTTTTAAAATTTGGAAAAATCAATTTCCAAATCTACAGTACTCAACATTGGAAACATCCAATTTTCAAAACTACAGTAATCTACAGTAGTCAATAATGTAAAACCCTAGTTTTTTCGAAGTCTCCAAATTTCAAATCTACAGTAATCCAAAAATATCGATTTTTTGAAAATTGGAAAATTCAATTTTTCAAATCTACAGTACTCAAAAATGTCGATTTCCTAAACTACAGTAGTCTACAGTAATCCAAAAAGAATTCCAGATTTTTCGAAATTTTGCGTTTCAAATCTAAAATAATCCAAGTTGAGAAACGTCGATTTTTGGAAATTTGGAAAATACTTTTTTCAGCCAAAAATCCGAAAATTGTCTGAAATTGATGCTGAAAATCGATTTTAACATATATTATTTCTACAAATTCCCAAATCCAACGCTTCCCCCAGTTCCAGATCTCCATCCTCCCGCTCATCTCGTCCCCCATCGCGTGCTCCTCGTTCTCCATCATTCTATCAGCCAAGACGTTCAAATTCTCGATCCTCCACCACCTCCTACCATCGCAATCGTCCCTACAACCCCTCCATTGCTCATCACAACAATCCACGTGGCTATTCTGGAGGATCATCGTCATCATCTCGTCACTATCCATCATCGTTTCGTAGTGGTGGTGGTCAGAATAGCTATCAGAATAGCTATAGTGGCTCGTCGTCACGTCATCGTGGATCTTCAGAATACAATTCTAGAAGCTCAAATTCGTCGCATTCGTGGCGCTCGTTTAGCAATCGTAACGATAATAGAAATAATTCTAGTGGAAATGGATGTTTTTGAAATTTTTTTAGAAGAATTTTGGCTTAAAATGACCAATTTTGGACCCAAAAATTGTAATTTCTGGGTTAAAAATGAGCAATTTCGGATCTGAAATTTGGCTTAAAATGAGCAATCTTTGAGCCAAAAACCTGTAACTCGTTTTCTTTTTTCTTCTTATCATATCTATATATCAGATTTTAATCACTTTTTTTGACCCTAAAATTTTCTTGATTCCCCTTTTTTGTTAAAAAAATTTTTGCTTTTTTTATATTGTTCCCTTCCCGTTTCCCCTGATCTTTGGTCCCTTTAAAAATCGAGTTTTTTCTCCTTCGCCTCGCCCCCCACAATCAATTTTCGAATCAATAATCATCAAATTTGTGGAATCATCGATTTTTAAAACAATTTTCAGCTAATTTTTGGCTGAAAACGCTAAAATTTCCACCAAAAAATCGAATTTTCCGTTTTGCGCGTCATTTATGGTGTTTGGTCCGCGGTTTTGAAAAATTAGAATTTCAAAATTTCCGGTCAACGTTAGTGTGCTGTGTCGATTGTTGACAATCGACAAAAATCGTCAAAATCGGTGTCGATTTCGTCGACTCGATCAAAAATCGACATTCAAAAAGTCGACAGAAAATCGACTTTTCAAAAGTCGATGAAAGTGAAAATCGACAAAAGTCGATTTTTGTCGATTTTGAATCGACTCAAAATCGACAAGAATCGACAGAAAATCGACAGAAAATCGACTTTTGTCGACTTTTGTCGACTTTATTGTCCGAGAGGACTACACGACCGGCGACCTAGAAACTGCCTGTGACCGGGGTATTTTTCATGAAAAACAGGCATTTTTCATGGAATTTTCAACTGAAAAACCGTATTTTTCTTGTTTTTTTTGAGTGTTTTGTTTTTTTTTTCTGTTTCATTTACGACATTCTTGCTTTTTGCAGATGTATTCGTCACAAAATCAATCTAAAGCGTGGCGATTCTTCGAAAAACAAAATAACGGACAAACTGTGACCTGTAAACTGTGCGGAAGGAGCATAAAGTTCCATTCTTCGACCACAACGATGCATCAGCACTTAAACAGTCACCACGAGAAAGAAGTTGTAAAAATGGAAAGATCGGTAAGCAGAAAATTATATATTTTTTGTTAAATTCTTAATTTTAGACGACGACTGAAGAGTACGAATATGACGACGAGAATGATGACTCAGAAGGCGTTGAATATTTCGAATCCAGAGAGCATAACGATGATACTTTTGGAAACGATTTGGCCCAAATAATGAAACATTAATTCCTTATGCTGAACTTTGTTCTTCTTCTTCCCTTTTTTTTAATTTTGTCGCTTTGAATTTTCTTCTATTTTCCTTGCCATCATATTTTGTAGCCCCGTTGAAACTAAGTTTTACACTATTTTTTTTTATCCATAAAAATAAAGTTGTTACTCTAAAATAAAGTTGTTACAATGATTTCTTCAAAAAATTAGAAAAAAACATTTTCGAGGTGAAATTTTACTTTGAAGTCCGGAAAAGTCGATTTTTCGTCGATTTTTTGTCGATTTTTCTGTCGATTTTAAATCGACAAAAATCGACAACGAAAAGTTCGATTTTCATCGACAAATAGCCTTTTCGAATTTTTGAATGTCGACTGTGTCGATTTTCAAAGTCGACAAAAATCATCGATTTTCGAGTCGACTCGGCACTCTAGTCAACGTTCACTGAAAACTCTGAAAATTTAGCCAGTTCTGAAATACAGAAAAAATCGAAACTTTATTAATTATTTTTTTTTGCTGACATACAAAAAGTTAAAAAATTTAAAAAACTAAAAATGGAAAAAAAATATAACCGCGTATTTGAAAAAAGTGATGTTTTTTTTGGTGAAGGTACGGTGATGATGAGAGAAAAGGAGGGAGAGAAATGTGTGAAATGACAACAACAACAAGAAAAAAAAGGAGAAAATTCGAATCCGGCATGAAAAAATATACAAAAAAATGATTGGAGCGAACTTGCCAAAAAATGGAAAATTCGAGAAAAAAAGAAATAAACCTGAGAAAAAGGCAGGAAAATTGGGAAACTCAAAAAATCGGAAAAATCAACAAATTAGAATTATAGAAAAATCGAAAACTCAATTTTTTTGAAATTTTAGGAAAATTCAAAAAGAAATCCGAAAATTTTTTAAAAAAAATTGAATTTTGAAGAAATTTCGGCAGAAAACGAAAAATCGCAAATTTTCAGAAAATCCGAATTTCATAGAATTTTCAGAAAAAACAAATTTAAAAAAACGAAATTTCAGAAAAATCTCCAAAAACTTGAACATAAAAATCCAGAAACTTAAAATTTCAGAAAAATTCGGATATTTCAAAATTCAAAAAACTGGAAATTCGAAAAATTTCGGAAAATCCAAAATTGAAAATTCGAAAAAATTTCAGAAAATTCTCCAAAATTAATTGGGAGTGGGAAAAGTTCAGTAGAGGGAACTTGCCAAAAAAATGGAGAATTCGAGACAAAGGGAAAGGAAACCTGAGAAAAAGACAGGAAAATTGGGAAACTCAAAAATCGAAACATTTGAATTTTATGGAATTTTCAGAAAAAATTCCAAAAATCGGAATTTTCAGTTTTTGAGAAATTTCTGAAAAATCCCCAAAATTCGAACATAAAAAATCAAAAAACTTAAAATTTCCGAAAAATTCGAAAACGCAAAAATTGAAACTTCCAAAAATTCAAATTTTCAGAAAATTCGAAAAAATTTGAAAACTCGAAAGATGGAGAAAAGTCAAAAATTCGAAATCCAAAATTACAGAAAAATTTGAAACAAAAAGTAAAATGCTAGAGAAATTTCAGAAAAATTAAAAGTTGAAAAAAAAATACAGAAAAAAAAGAAAAATCTAAAATTCAAATTTTATAGAATTTTCAGAAAAAAACGTCGAAAATCTGAAAAAAATCAAAATTCCAAATTTTTAGAAAAATCTCCGAGAAATTCAGAAATAACTTTGAATTTCAATATTAAAAAAAAATTCCAAGAACTCGAAGTTTCGAATTTTGGAAAAAAAATTCGAAAAATTAAGTTTTCAGAGATTTTTGAAAATCTTAAATTCGAATTTTCCTATTTTTCAAGATTTCCTGAAAATCGATTTCAAGAGATTCAAAAAAAGAAGAGGGGTGTAGGAAAATGTACAAAAATCCTAAAAAAAAATCCTAAAAATCCTAAACAATCAAATCCTCAAAATCGGACCCCGGATCCGAGAGCAATCGTTGATGCTTCTTGCTGGAACTGCTCACAATACTGGTCGTCGATCCAAGCAACGAGCCCACTTTTGAACTCCACACGGACAATTTGGACGACGCGTTGCCTCGGAAGACTCCAGAATCGTCTAATCCACGGTGCACTTGAACTTGGAAACTTCCAGATTCCAGGAATTTCTGGTGTCGTTTGAATGATGGGGTGTACAAATTGGCTAGCGTTGGTTTTCGGAAATTTTTAAGTAGGAGAGACGAGGAGACGACAGACACACTAGACAGAGCCATTGCGGCTGCGGCCATCCACGGTTGGAGCATGAAACCGAACGGGCGGAATACACCTGAAACATTTTTTTTTCAAGTTTGACAATTTCCGAATTTTAACAAATCCATCATTTGCCACTGTAGGTTACTGTAGGTTATTTTAGTTTTAAAATTTTAACAATCCAATATTTTTTGGATTACTGTAGATTGCTGTCGATTTGAAAATTCGGGATTTTCAAAATTTCCAAAAATCGACTTTTTCCATTTTGGACTACTGTAGTTTTGGATTTTTGAAATTTCCAAAAATCAATGTTTTTAGATTACTGTAGATTGGAAATTTAATAAGATCAATTTTCTCCACTTTGGATTACTGTAGTTTCGAAAGTTTTGAATTTTCAAAAGTCGATCACTTCCACTGGGATTACTGTAGATTATTGTAGTTTCCAATTTTTAAATTTTCGGAAATGCATTATTTTAAGATTACTGTAGGTTTGAAATTTTGATTTTTTTTAATTTTGGATTTTCCGATTTTTGAAAATTTTAAAAGTTTCCACTTTGCAATACTGTAGGATACTGTAGATTCGTATTTTTCAAGTTTCGAAAAACCAATTTTTAAAAAAATTTTGAATTACTGAAATTTTGAAATTAGGGATTTTTAAAATTTTGAAAAATCTATGATTTTCACATTTTGGGTTACTGTAGATTTGGATTTTGAAATTTCGAGAAGTCGAAAATTTTCACATTTCGGATTACTGTACTTTTTAAATTTCGCATTTCGGGAAAATCAATAATTGTCCTCTTTGGACTACTGTAGATTACTATAAATTTGAAAATTGGGATTTCATAAATCAAAATTTTTCCACTTTGGATTACTGTAGATTTGGATTATCTAAAGTTCAAAAATTTGTTAAAGTAAATTACTGTAGTGTTGGAAATTCGGGTTTTTAAAATCAAAAATCGATTTTTCGGAATTCCCCATAAATTTGGGAAAATGCGCTCTATTGAGCAAAACTTTTCGAAATTTTCAAAAAATTCATTTTTTCGAATTTTTCTGAAAAAAAAACGATTTTTGGAATTTTTTTTCACAATTGCGCTCCACCGAACTACAGTACCTGCAGCAATGGGAATCCCGATAGCGTTATAGATAATAGCGAACAGGAAGTTGAGTCGAATCCGTCTCGTGGTCATTTTCGATAGCTTAATCGCTCCAACGACATCAACCAAGTCATTGCGGACCAGAACGATGCCAGCCGATTCGATTGCCACGTCACTTCCAGCCGCAATCGCAATCCCAACATCTGCTTCAGCTAAAGCTGGCGAATCATTTACTCCGTCTCCAACCATTGCCACTTTACTACCGTACCCTTTTAGCTGCTTGATTTTTTGCTGTTTTTGATTTGGAAGAACCTGGAAACGTCAATAAAATACATTTTCGCTAGTTTTTGAGCTTGAAAATGCTTAGGTCAAACGGAATTTCGACCGTAACTCAGCTAGTTTTCATCTGATCACTGTGAAACCTGGATTTTCGAATTTGGCGTGTTTCAAGCTTTCAAATGAGTATAATCATGACCCACTTTCGCTCGGAAAATATTTTCGAGCTACGCGCTCATATCTCAAAAATGAAGTTTAGCTCATAACTCGGCGAGTTTTAGCTCAATTAGTATGAAATTCAGCTTTTCAAATCTAGCACATTTTAAGTTTTCAAATGAGTATAATAATGACCTATCTCGGTTGAAAAAATTTTACAAGCTAAGCGATCGCTGGTAAAAATTTTGTTTAGCTCATGACTCGGCGAGTTGAGTTTTGAATTTGGCGCGTTTCAAGCTTTCAAATGAGTGTAATCATGACCTCGTTTTGTCTCAAAACATTTTTGACCTACGCGATCGCTAGTAAAAATTTTGTTTAGCTCATAACTCGGCGAGTTTTAGCTCGATTTGTATGAAATCTATATTTCTGAAATTGTCGCGTTTCGAGCTTTCAAATAAGTACTATCATGACCTATTTTCGAAAAATTATTTTTTGAGCGTGGTCCCGTAGCTCAAAAACATTTTCGCTAAGAATAGTTGATGATTATACTCATTTGAAAGCTCGTAACGGGAAAGTTTGAAAATCAAAGTTTCATGAGAATTGGTCCAAAATTCACCGAGTTATAGGCGAAAAAACATTTTTTACAAGCGATCCCAGAGCTCAAAAACTTTTTCATGACAAAATAGGTCATGATTATACTCATTTGAAAGCTCAAAACACACCGAATTCATCCATCCATATTTCAAGCAAATTGGATCAAAATTGACAGAGTTCCGATTGAAACAATAGTTTTGAGATATGAGCGCGTAGCTTTCAGCCTGTAACATTGCTCATAGACAAGCTCCATCATCCCAAATAGGCTCATTTTGTAGCTCTTGAGTTCTTCTATCATATCCACTGTATTTGGTTCAGAAATATTGCTCCTTACCTCCGCATAAACCTCATCAATTCCCACTTGTTTGGCAGTGGATTCTGCGGTTTTCGAGTTATCTCCAGTTAGCAGAACCACTCCCAAACCCATCTCACGTAGCGTATAAATTGCCAGAGAAGCCTCTTTTTTCACTTGGTCCGCAATTGAAATCACAGCGACTACTTCCGCTGTAATAAGTTGAGTTAATTGGGGGTAATTAGGGATAATTACCATTAATTGCACAAATCACCGAGATGTGTCCTTTTCGTTGCTCATCGGAAAGTGTCATTTTGACAGTATCCGTGACTGGAATCCCATGTCTCTCCATCATTCGTTCCGTTCCAATTACGATGGCGGCGGTGTCGGGATTCGGTTGGGTTACTGTAATTAGGGTCAATTATCTCGGTTACTGTAGGAGATACTCAAAAGTGGCCAACTGATAAAATGTTCAACATATTATCAGTAACATTTTATCAGTTAAAAACATTTCGTTATCTCTTACAGTAACCCAGATAAACTGGTTCAAAGATAAAAGTGCCTTACCATCCTTGCTAGAAACCTGCAGTAATGTGACTTCTGTTCCTGGAATCGTCATCGTCTGTCCATCCAGAAGACGTGGGAATTCAGAAGACGTCGTTCCAGATAAAGCTAGCGATGCGAATGATTGACGAATCGAATCGATTCGACATGTTACTCCATGGCCGGCCGAGACGTGGAATCGAGAAGTGTTCGGCCAGGTGGGCTCGTTGAGGAGCTGGAAAATTCAGAAATCTACAGTAATCTACAGTAATCCAAAACTTGAAAAAATCGAATGAATTTTCAGAAATCCAACTTTTCAAAAAATTAATTTTTCGAAATTTGGAAAATTGCTAATAGTAAACTACAGTAATCCAAAAACCTAAGGTTCCAAAACAACAGTAATCCAAATCGGAAAAAAATCGAAACCTACAGTAACCTATCTACAGTACCTGTTTGGCAAACGCCGCAATCGCATTTCCAATCGGGTGCTCGGATAACGCTTCAGTGGCTCCTGATAAGAATGTTATCAGTTTCAGTGATAGCGACTGAGGATTCACAAATGAGGCAATTTGTATTACACGTGGACGTCCCTCGGTGATGGTGCCCGTCTTGTCGAATACGATAGTGGTGACCTGCAAAAAAAAGAGAAAGTGATAAGGATTTTAACTGTATATCAGTCAGTTTTCATTCAATTTTTATGAAACCTAGATTTTTAAATTTGGCGCGTTTTCAGCTTTAAAATGACTATAATCATGACCTATTTTCATCGAAATGACTTTTTGAGCTTTGAGCTACGTAGCTTCCTTCAGGATCAATATTTTCAGAGCTACTACTATGGGTACGATAGCAAAACTTAAGAGTTTGGGATACTGTAGCTTGTCTGTGGCCAAAGTTACAAACCAAAAACCATCTGAGCTTGACTATGACTGTGTATCTCAGTCGGTTTTTAGCTTGTAACTTTGCTCATAGACAAGATACAGTACTCCAAACAAGATAATTTTGTAGCTTTTGAGTTTTTCTATCATGTTTAATTTAGCTAGTTCAAGAACATAGCATCTGAAGGAAGTTATGATCCCATCTGTTTTAGAGCCGCCATGAGCCCGTTCAAGGCCCGCTTAGTGTCCGTCTGTGTGCCCAGATGTTCCGATGTCCACGTTTCCAGATCCGTACAAACCTTATGAACACTCTCCAATGGTTCTCCACCCTTGATAAGAATCCCATTCGCCGCTCCAACTCCTGTCCCCACCATAACCGCAGTGGGCGTGGCCAATCCCAAACTGCAAGGACAAGCGATCGCTAGAACTGTGATGGCCGCTTCAAACGCGATTTTCAGAGCTTCCTCGAATCGCAAACCGGGTGGCTGGAAAAAAGGAAATTAGGGAGTTTTTGGGATCTTCAAAAATTGAAAACGGACCAAAATTGGACCTAAAACCGGCCAAAAACTGTCCTGGACCATAACATTTTTCAGGATCAATAATTTTTGACTAACTGATATAGCCAAGATAGAAGAAATCAAGTTCTACAAAATGAAACTACTTAGGATACTGTACATAGCCTATGAGCAAAGTTACAAGCCTAAACCGCAGGAGCTAAGCTATGTCCGCGTAGCTCGCGCTGTTTTTGAGCTGCAACTTTGCTCATAAACAAGCTACAGTATCCCAACTAAGCTCATTTTATAGCTCTATACTTACCAAATGTTGATTTCTCTCCAAATTATACTCAATCGCAATCCAGACGCCAAGTGTGAGCAATGATAATCCAATGACACACGGGACAAAATATCCAGCTATCCTATCAGCCAACTGTTGAATCGGCGCTCGATTCGTTTGCGCTTCTTCCACTAGTCGGACGATTTGGGATAGCGTCGAATCATTTCCAACATGTGTTGCCTTCACAATCAGGACGCCTTTTTGGTTTACGGATCCTCCAATTACAGTACTACCTGTAACTCAGTTATTCTTGATTCAATTTTCATGAAAACTAGATTTCTGAATTTGTCACTTTTTGCGCTTTAAAATGAGCATAATCATGACCTAATTCTATGAGAAACTTTTTTGAGCTACGCGCTCGCAAAAGTTCTTAAGCTCCTAACTCGGTTAGTTTTAGCCCAATTCGTGTGTGACTTTGATTTTTGAATTCAGCGTGTTCCAAGCTTTTAAATGAGTATAATCATGACCTAGCTCCTCGTAAAATGATTTTCGAGCTACGCTCTCATATCTCGAAAGTTTTTCTTTTTATGCTAGCTCGGTTAGCTTCAGCCCAATTTTTGTGGGACTTCGATTTCTGAGTTCGGTGTGTTTCAAGCTTTCGAATGAGTATAATCATGACCCCCTTGTCTCGATAAAACTTTTCGAGCTACGCGCTCATATCTCTCAAATGCTCTTTCGCTCATAACTCAGTTATTGTTCCCCTGATTATCGTGAAACTTTGATTTTCAAATTTGGCGCGTTCCGAACTTTCAAATGAGTATAATTGTGACTTACTTCTTCAAAAAACGTTTTTTGATCTACGCGCTCATATCTCAAAAATACTGTTTCGCTTATAACTCAGCTAGTTTTCAACCAATTTTTGTGAAACCTCGATTTTGAAATTTAGCACTTTCTAAGCTTTCAAATGAGTATAATCATGACCGAGTTTTATAAAACAATTTTTTGAGCTACGCGATCGCAGATAAAATATGTTATTTAGCTCATAACTCGGTTCGTTTTAGCTCAATTTTTATGAAACCGTGATTTTCAAATTCAGCTCGTTCTGAGCTTTAAAACAGGTCTAATCATGACCTACTTCTCCAAAAAATGAATTTTCGAGCTACGCGCTCAAATCTCACAAATATTGTTTCGCTCATAACTCGGTTCGTTTTGGCCCAATTTTTGTCACGCCTAGATTTTCAGAATTGTCTCGTTTTAGGCTTTCGAATAAGTATAATCTTGACCTATTTCGCTCAAAATAATTTTTCGAGATATTTTCGAGCTACGCACTCATATCTAGAAAACACTGCTTACCTGGTTTCTTAACCACCGGCATTGATTCTCCAGTGATGAAGCTCTCATCAGCCGAACTTTTTCCATCGATCACCACTCCGTCAACAGGTACTTTGGCGCCAGGAACTACCTGGAAAGTGGTTTTTTATTCATTTTTAAGCTACAAACAACAAATCCTACCTTGATCAGATCATCCCTCTGCACCAATTCGATATTAATACCTTTTTCCGAAGTCAATCGTCCTTCTGAATCCATCGTGACCAGGGTGGCTTCCTTAGCTTGGAGCGACATTAGCTTTGATAGCGCTTCGGAGGTTTTTCCCTGAAAAAAATTGATTTCGTAGCTTTAGAGCCAGATCCTAACGCGTAGCTGGATCGTATTTCGCTCATAACTTTGCTAGTTTTTATCTAATTCTTGTGGAACCTAGATTTCCAAACTTGGCGCGTTTTGCGCTTTTAAATGAGTATAAACATGACCTAGTTTTGAAATAACCATTTTTTGAGCTACGAAGTCATATCTCGAAAATGATCTTTCGCTCATAACTCAGTTACTGCTCGCCAGATTTCTGGTTAACCTAGATTTTCAAATTTGTCGTGTCCTGCGCTTTCAAATGAGTTTGATCATGACCTAGTTTTGTTTAAAACAATTTTTGAGCTACGCGCTCATAGCTCAAAAATGATCTTTCGCTCATAACTCAGTCAGTTTTAGCCCGATTTCAGTGAAACTTTGATTTTTGAGTTTCCCCTGTTTCAAGCTTCCAAATGAATATAATCATGACCTATTTCTATGAGAATGTTTTTTTTGAGCTCTGCGATCGCAAGGGAAAAATCTTGTTCTGACCATATCTCGTTAGGTTTCTATCTGATTTCTGTAAATCCTAGATTTTTGAGCTTGACACGTTCTAAGCTTCAAAATGAGTATAAACATGTCATACTTTATTTGAAAAAAATTTTCGAGCTATGCGATCGCAGGTAAGAAAACTGTTTGGATCTTAAATCAGCTAGTTTTAGTCGGGCTTTTGTGAAAGCTTGATTTTTGAATTCAGCAACTTTCAAGCTTTTAAATGAGCATGATCATGACATATTATTCTCAAAAACGGTTTTCGATCTACGCGATCGCTGGCAAAAATATTGTTTTGCCCATAACTCGGTCAGTTCTAGCCCGATTTTCGTGAAACTTCGATATTTGAATCTGGCGTGTTTCCAGCTTTCAAATGAGTATAATCTTGGCATATCTTCATAAAAATTATTGTCCGAGCTATGAACTCATATCTCGAAAATGTTGTTTAGCTCATAACTCTGTCAATTTTAATCAAATTTCAATGAAACTTTGATATTTGAACTTGGCGCGTTTTGAGCTTTCGAATGAGTATAATCATGACCTAGTTTTGTTAAAAACAATTTTCGAGCTGCGCGCTCATATCTCAGAAATGCTATTTCGCTCATAACTCGGCTAGTTTTTATCTGGTTTCAACAAAACTGCGATTTTTAAATTTGGCGCGTTCCCAGCTTTCAAATGAGTATAATCATGACCTATTTCTAGCGAAAAAGTTTTTCGAGTTTTTTTCTAGCTACACGGCTACAACTACCTCTTACCTTTGCCTTATGCTCCAACATTCTTCCCAACGCGATGAAAACAATCAACATGGGCGGTACATCGAAAAAAGTCATCGGCGAACTCGGCCATTTGAATACAATCGCCAGAAAAAGGACAACAATCGAATAGGTGTAGGCGATGGTCGTGGCCAAGACAATGAGCACATCCATATTCGCATTTCCGTGTTTTATCGCTTTCCAGGAGGCCGAGTAGAAGTAGCGACCACCGAAAATCTGAAAAAAGCGGGAAATGTGGGGGGTGAAATAGATGAAATAGGCCTTTTTTGGAGAGAATTATCATTAGAGCGCGTTTGCATCTTTTTTGCAGTTTTTTGCGCTGAAAATGCGCTCTAAAAATGGGTTTTTGTGAAAATTATCATTGGAGCGCGTTTGCTCTAAAAAATTCCATTTTCTTCATTTTTTGGCGCTGAAAACGGGTCCTAGGGCTAAAATCAGTCGTTTATAGCAAACTTATTATTAAAATTAGCGCTAGAGCGTATTTGAAGCCCCAAATTATGAGTTTTCGTGAAAATTATCATTGGAGCGCGTTTGAATAATTGGAAATTCAATTTTTTGCAATTAGATCATAGAATAAGTTTAAAAGCGCATTTTCAATATTAAAAAGCGAAAAATCAGGAAAAAAAACTCGAAATTTGTAACTTTTTTTGCAAGTGAGCTCTAATGATAATTCTCGCATTTTTAGCTCACAAGTTGATTTTAAGCGTCGAATTTGAGCGGAAAACCCGCAAAATCACTATTGAAGCGCATTTAAAACCTTAGAAATTGCAGAAAATTCGAAATAAAAGACATTTGAAGCAAATGCGCTCTAATGATAAAACGAACAAAAAAGGTCATTTTGGCTCAAAAAGTCATTTTAAGCGTCGGTTTTAAGCGGAAAATTGCAATTAAAGCGCAATTTGACTCCTGAAAATGCGAAGAAATTTCAAAAAATCAGAAGTTTTAGCAAATGCGCTCTAATGATAATATGAGCTAAAATGGTCATTTTTGGCTCAAAATGGGTAAATTTTAAGCTGAAAAACCGCAGAATCATTATTAGAGCGCATTTGAAACTTCAAAAATGCAGAAAATCCGAAATAAAAGAAATTTGAAGCAAATGCGCTCTAATGCTAAAATCGTCATTTCTAGCTTAAAATGGGTCGTTTCTAGGTCGTTTTCAAGCGGGAAAAGGCTAATTTCCCAGAAGAGCGCAATTCCACCATTAAAAATGCAGAAAATCCCAAAAAATTGAAATTTAACGCAAGTGCGCTCTAATGATAAAATGGGCTAAAATGTGTCGTTTTTGAGCGTTTTTTTTGAAACTTTCGAGCTGTTCGGATTACTGTAGTCTAGTCACACATTTTTTTTATAGTTGGATTGCAAAATCTACCGTACCTGCACGGGCGTACATAGAATGAGCAATAAAAAGTTATCCAACGAGAGAGCTGGGGTAAAGATGGGTGTCTGTTTCTCGGGATGCATGGGAGTGTGTAGGATCCAATGGAAAATGATCATAATAATCATGACAGGTACCCCGCAAACCAATGAGATCAAGAATGTGTTTCGCCATCTGCAAATTGATTGATTGATTTATCGATTTTTTGGGAAATTCAAACTTTTCAACATCTTCCGAATGGTCCAACCGTTTCATTTGATTGTCTCGTGTGGCTAAATCCGCTGTGAATCCTAGCGATTCGATTACATTGATAATATCTCTTGGTCCAATGATTTGGGGTGAGAACTCGACTAGAGCCATCGAGGTGGCAATCGATACATTACAAGAATCGATTCCGGTTTTGGAGAGGACATGAGATTCGATTCGTGTCGCGTCGGATTCTGTGGACAGGTTGCCGATCTGAAAATGGATTAGCAATAGAGCGAGGTTGCGTGTTTCAGCAGTTTTACTGTAGAATAATCCTCAGAGCCCATTTTCAGACCTATTTCAGTGAGAAAATTAGCATTAGAGCGCACCTACAGACCTCAAATTCAAATTCTTTCAAAAAATTAGCGCTAGAGCGCATTTGAAGCCTTGATTTTCGCGTTTTGGCGAAAATTAGCAAGGAAATTAGAAGGAGCGCATTTGTGAACCTTTATTACCGATTTGAATGTTCGAAGAAAAGCTATTGACTATGGAATTTTCGTTAGAGCGCATTTGAAACACCTAAATTCAATTTTTTTAAAACGAAAATTAGCATTGGAGCGCACTTGCTTCGAAAGTCTGAAATTTCAAAATTTTCATGCTGAAAATGTGCTCTAACGTCACAAAATAGTTTTTTGATGATAAATTTGCATTCGAGCGCATTTGAAGCCCCTCTAAATTTGCGTTTCGGTGAAAATTAGCATTGGAGCGCACTTGCATCAATTTCGATTTTTTAAAAAATGTCTTTCATGTCTAAAATACGTCCCAATGGATTAATTCGCTATTAGAGCGCAATTTCAACCTTCAAAAAAGCAAAAAATCCATAAAACTTGAACTTTTTGCAAATGCGCTCTAATGATAAAATAGGCTAAAACGACATATTTTGGCTGAAAATCGGTCATTTCTAGGCGACAAAACCGTATTCGCTATTAGAGGGCAATTTCAATCTTCAAGAATGCAAAAAATTCCAAAAAATTGAAATTTTCAGCAATTGCGCTCTAATGACAAAATGATCTAAAAATGGTTATTTTCGGCCTAAAATAGCCCAAAATGACTCATTTTGAAGCCTGAAAAATCGTGATTCTTATTAGAGCGCACTTACAATCAACTGAATTTTATTATAATTCGAATTGGAGCCCATCGAGTCGAGCAGTGTCGCTTTATATCCCAACTCTTCTGTCATATGCTCTCCAATGGCATCCGCCGACGTCAATCGATTATCGTAGATCACTTCGGCTTTTGCGGCAATCAAGGCAACAACAATTGAGTGGACACCTGAGGGAAAATATCGATTTTTGAAAATTTCAGAGAAAAAAATGTTTTTGTCTGAAATTTTTTTTTTGACTGAAAAAAAAAATTTTATCTAGTATTCAAAATTCTCCAAAAATCAAGAAAATCGAAAAAAAATTTCAGGCAAAAAAAATTTTTTTGGCTGAAAATTTTTTTTTGGCTGAAAATTTGTTTTGGCTGAAAATCTGAAATTTCCGTACCTTCCACTTTTGCCACATTCCTTTCGATATACTGTACACAGGAGGCACAAGTCATGCCCTCGACACCAAATGTGCACTTTTCCAGGTGCTCCGAGGTGTTCTGCAAGAAACTTTTTTTTTTGAATTTTTCAAATTTTTTTTGGCGGGTAAAATTGAAATTTTCAGCCGAACATACCAATTTTTCAGTCTTAAAATCGTTTTTTTGGCTTTTAAACACCCATTTTCACACCAAAAACATCGAAAAACCAGCTTTTAAGCCAATTTATTATTGGAGCGCACTTGCTGACCCACCGCTTTTGAATATTTGACTCCGTTGAGTTGTAGCTCCACTCTTCCACCATCTAATTCAGGTTTTGGAGGTTTTTTCGGCGATTTGACTCTGGGAATTTCATTTTTGGCGCCAATTTCTGGGATTTCTGAAAATCAAAAATTCAAAAAAATGCAAATGCGCTTCATTGATGATTTCCCAAAAACTACCTGAATCCGTGATCAATTTGCACTCAAAACCCATGTCGTCAATTGCCTCGGCTACTGTATCTCCTATCCACGTTTCCGGGTCGTAATCGATGGTTCCTGAAGAAAGTGCGCTCTATTGATAATTTGCTTTAAAAATCGCATTGGAGCACACTTGCAATAAACTTCTTGACGGGAAACGCTTGAAAATGAGCTCTAAAACCTATTTTCAGTTTGAAAAATCGAAAAAAAAAGATTTTTGAAATTTTTGGTGCAAGTGCGCTCCGATGCTAATCTCTCTAAAACATAGCTAAAGCTCAAATTTAGAGGCCTGAAATACTTTCTAACCTTAATCTCATGAAATTTAACGCTAAACCGCATTTCAAACTCAAAAACTGAGCATTTTAGCAAGTGTGCTCCACTGCTAATTTTTCTTTAAAACGCTTAAAAACGTTCAAAAAACATCGTTTTTCCGCGATTTTTTTTCTCAAACTCACCCTGCATCTGTTCCAAACTAACAACGATTTTTTGAATTCCCGCCTTCGGACCTACAGTATCCTGAATATTGTTGACACATGCATGACACGTCATTCCGTCGATGGAGACGACCGCTCGACGGAATTTCCGGTTTTCCGGCATTTTTGTAGCGTCTGGTGCGTCTGAAAATGTGAAATTTACAAAAAACGAGGAAAAATTGTTTTTCGAGCAAGCGCGCTCCAATGAGAATTAGTCTAAAAATGGTCTGAAATGGCTTGAAAATCAAATTTTTGAAGAATTTTTTTTGAAAAAAATCTCTAACAAGCTCCGCCCACTTTCAATTAGAAAATAGCAAAAAAATGTTTTGAGAAAAAGCGCTCTAATGATAATTTGTCTAAAAATGGCTCGAAATTCAACTTTCGAGAAGAAATTTTTTGGAAAAAGTGGGCGGAGCCTATAATAGTCTTTTTTCTCAAGAAAATACGAGAAATTCGCAAAAAAATCGAAAAAAAAATTTTTTTTGAGAAAGTGCGGTCCACTGATAAAACGTCTGAAAATGGTCTAAAAATCGTATTTTTTCGACCAAAAATTCTGATAAAAGTGGGCGGAGCCTAAAATAACCTTTTCTGGAGGAAAATAAGCAAAAATCGAAAAAAAAATTTTTTTGAGAAAGTGCGCTCCAATGATAAAACGCTTAAAAATGGTCTAAAAAGACTTAAAATTCAATTTTTTTTTCAAAAAAAAAACCAGAAAATCCTGGAAAAGGTGGGCAAAGCCTAAAAAACCCTTCAAAAATCAATTTTTCAGAATTTTCAGCAAACGCGCTCCAATGCTAAAAACTCTCAAAAACCTCAAAAAAACCTCAAAAAACGTGCATTTTTCGTACAAAAATGCATACTTTGTGCGTTTCTTCGAAGAAAAATGTCTTATCATCAAAAAATTTGGAAGTTTTTTGTCTTCTCTCCATCCATTATTACTATTCCTTATCAGTGATATCAAAACCCCCAAATAAATTTTTTTTTTTCGAGACGAGAAAAAAAATTTTTTGGTCAGACGGAATTCATAAACAGCATAAAAAACTAACAAAAAAAAATTAGATTTTTCGCATAGAGCGAGTTTGCAGCCATTTTAGAGTAGATTATCAGTGGAGCGCATTTGCATAAAACCCCCATTTTCGGGGTTTTTTCGTGCTAGAAATGCGCTCTAGGGCTAAAAAAACTGTCCAAAAATCAGTTTTAAAGGCCTAGATTATCAGTAGAGCGCATTTGCAAGGTAAAACTAGCATTAGAGCGCGTTTGCTCAAAATTGATCGTTTTGGGGCGTTTTTTATCGGATTTTCGGCTAAGAACGCGTATATCACTGTTTGGAAGAAAATTTTCAAAAAAACATTTTTTGTTTTGAAAACTTTTTTTTTTAAGTTAAAAATCAATAAAAACACTGATAGTAGTGAAAAACCTTATCAAATTAACCAAAAAAACTAGTATATAATCCATTTTTGTCTTGTTTTTAGTACACTTTTTTGAAAAAAATTCAAAAAATAAACAAAAAAAAGAAAGAGAAATAGAGAAAACGACCAAAAATTGACTGTTTATATAGGTGAGAGAAAAATAAACAAACAAATATTTTTCGAAAAATTTTTTTTTTTGAATTTTCGGAATTTTTTAATTTTCGAATTTTCGGACTTTTGAAATTTTGAATTTTTTCGATTTTTTGAATTTTCGGAATTTTCGAAAAGTTGAATTTCAAAATTTCTGAATTTTCAAACTTTCGAATTTTTTGAAATTTTGAATTTTTCTGAATTTTTGAAATTCTGAATTTTAGAATTTTAGGATTTTATATTTTGAAAAATTTTGAATTTTATAATTTTTGAAATTTCGAACTTCTGAATTTTCGAAATTATTAAATTTTTTGAAATTTCGATTTTTCGAATTTTTTGAATTTTCGAATTTTTGAAATATTATAATTTTTGGAATTTTTGAAATTTCGGAATTTTCGAACTTTCGGATTTTCGAAATTTTGAAATTGTGAATTTTTGAATGTTTGAAATTTCGAATTTTTGAAATTTTTGAAATTTCTGAATTTTCGAAAAAAAATTTTTTTTTCGAATTTTTTTTTCCAAAAAATTCAAATTTTCAGCTAATTTTCAGCCAAATTTTGCCCATTTTTTTCATACTGTACCTCTTAAAATTTTACACTCAAAACCCATATCATCAATCGCCTCAGCCACTGCTTCTGGCGTCCAAATCGTCGAGTCATAGACGATTTGTCCATTTTCCTCTTTCAAGTTTACTTGGATTTTTCGAATTCCCGCCTTTCCACCAATCACATCTTGAATATTGTTCACACATGAGTGACATGTCATTCCTCTGAAAAAATTGATTTTTGAAAAAAAAAATTTTTTTCAGAATTTTATGTTTTTTGGCTCAAATTTTGTCGAAAAAGGGCAATTCAGAGCTAATTAACGCCTAAAAACAGTTCAGAAACTCCTCAAAACGCTTCTAAACCCCTTTTAAACCCCTTAAAACACAAAAATTCACATTTTTCAAAAATTTGCTCGGATGGTCTAGTGGGATTTTGGACATGCAAACTTTCGAAATTCAACACCAGGGTTCGATTCCACTCGGTGGCAAACTTTTTTGCATTTGTTTCGAGCAAGAATTCGGGGGTTTTAGAAGGTTCTAGACCCATTTTAAGCATTTTTGGATTACTGTACTTTTGCCTGCTCCGCTAAAACCACCGTATCTCGAGCTACAGTAATCCTAGAGAGATGCAAACTACACCAATCAAATCGCCTTGTTCAGAGCTTTCAAATGAGTATACACTCATGACTAGTTTTGAAAATGTTTTTGGATTACTGTAGTTTGATCCCCCAAAAATCAAATCTACCGTATCTCGAGATACAGTAATCCTAGAAACACCAAAGTTGTATCATTCGACTCAGCTTGTTAGCAGCTTTCAAATGAGTAAACTCATGCCTATATTCCAAAACTTTCTTGGATTACTGTAGCTTGACCTTCTCATTTCCGATTTTTCAAATTTTCAATTTTTTTTCAAATTCCCGCCGGATTTTTTTCAAAAAATTTCTCTAAAAACTCACTTAATTTCCACCATCACTGTCTTCTCAACTCCAGCTGCTGGACCCGAAAAGTCCACCAGCAAATTTTCAGATTTTGAATTTGGCGCCAAATTCAAATTTCCAGATGAATTTTTTGGAGTGGATGGAAGTGGTGATCCATCCAAAAGACTGACATTTTCAGACATTTTTTTTTGGGTGATTTTTCGAATGAGAATCACATAGAAAAATCGATTTTTTAAAAAAGTTTTTCCAGTCGTCAAGTAGTCGATTTCTCTGAAAAAATAGAAGGAAAAATGGCGAAGAATACAGATTTTTATTCAAAAAATTTAAGACAAAAAAAAGCACAATTAGAGAGAAAAAAATTTGTTTTTTTCCAAAAAAATCTCGAATTTTCAGCGAAAAAATTTGCTTTTTTTTTCTTAAAATTTTCAGCATTTTTCAGGTATTTTTTCATCTGAAAATTTCCAAAAAATTCATTTTCAGCGATTTTCAGCCAAAAAAATCAATAATTCGAAACTTTTGGAAATTTTGAAATATCAAAAAATCTAGGAAAATCAATTTTCAGTCGAAAAAATGCTAAAAAAACAGTAAAAAAGAAAAAAAAAGTCAAAGAAATTCAGAAAATCGAAATTTTTTAAATTTTCAGCAAAAAATCGTTTCTTCTCTGAAATTTTCCTATATTTATATTAAAAATTCCTTTTTTTTTTTAAATTAAATTTTCCAAAAAATCCATTTTTTAGTGATTTTCAGCCGAAAAATTCGAAAACTCTGGAAGCTCTGAATCTATAAAATATCAGAAAATCTAGAAAAATCAATTTCCAATCAAAAAATGCTTAAAAATCACTAAAAATAGCTTTAAAAAGGGGGGAAAATCAAGCGGCAGACTGGTGGCCGCGGTGGCCTAGGATTGTCGGATCCTAGGCCACCCGCCTACCCGATGACTGGATGACGTCATTCTGGACGTCATCTGATGCTTTTTCTGAGGGAAAAATGAAGAAAAAGGAGAGGAAATTTTGAAATTGAAGTATTTCGTAATACTAATTTTCGTCAGATTTTGAAAAATTCTAAAAATAGAAAAACTTTGAAAATGACACTTTTCGAATTCAAAAAGACTTTTGCAAAAACTGAACTTTTTTCCAGAAATTTGCTTTAAAAATGCGTTTTCAAGTGTTTTTTGTTTTGACCTAAAAATAAACAAAGCATTTTTGGGATTAAAAATTCCAGTTTTTTTTTTGAATTCAAACTCAAAATTTTTGGTTTTTTTCGCTTCAAAATTTGCCATAAAAACTTCGTATAAGGTTTTTTTTTTCCAAAAATTTTCTTATCAATACCCCAAATTTTCCAAAATCAAAAAGCGATTATATATCAGAAAACAAACAAAAAAAGTGTCAATTTTGACACTTTTTCCTTGTTTTAATGATGCAAAATTTGTTATTTTTAGGCTAAACATAGCCACTTTCAGCTAAAATTTCTTTTAAATTGCTCAGTTCTAGGCTCAAAAATTACTTTTTTTTTTTTGGAATTTTCGAGCTAAAAATTTGGGTTCTTGAACCCAAAACTGAGCAACCTAGCTGAGAATTTTGATTTAAAAAATCGCATTTTTTCGAAAAATTGGCCAAAATTGATTGGATTTCAGCGTTTTTTGGCTATTTTTTGGATGTAAATAGCCATTTTCAGTCGAAATTTCATCGAAATTGCTCAAGAAATTGGGTTTTTTTCTAGCTTAAAAATTCCTTATTCTCGGCTCCAAAAATGGCTAATTTCCGGCTTTTTTGGCTCCTTTTCCAGCTCAAATTTCGGTCCAATATTCTGAAAAATCATAAAATCAATAGAAAAAAGAAACCTACATATTACTACACAGGTCTCGAGAACATGGTATGTAACCTACTTTGTCTCTTTTTCTCAAAAGAAACGTAATTTTTCAGTGTAAAGTGACTGGGGGCGAGAGAGAAGAAACCAGTATTGGTCATATATGGCCTAAAGCGGACGATACAGACCTGAAATTTTGTGAAAAAAACAAGAGTTTTACAAGAAAAAGAAGCATTTTTCAAGTAAAAAAGTCGGAAAAAAATCACATTAACACACTGAAAAATGAGAGTGAAAAGTGACGACAACAAATTGGGGAGGAAATGGGAGGGGGGAAACAACAAGGATTATGGGAGAAACCGGACAAAAATATAGCCGATAATAATCAAAATCACCAAAGAAATTGAAATATCCTAAACTGAAAAGAATAGAAAAAGAGCCAAAAAAATTCTGACAATTTCTAATATAGAAATTGGCAATTTTTCATCAAAAAACGGGGGAAAATTGGGAGATTTTTGAATCAAGTAAAGTGGAAAAAAGGGGGAAATATAATAGGAATTTCAAAACGAGTTTAACAGTGGGGAGAGGAATTTTTCAACAAAAAGGAGAAGAAACAGAAACAAAAAAGGGAATTAGCGCTCCTTGACGAGTCCCTTCTCGCGAGACTTGACATCCTTGTCGATTTGTTTTCTCAGGTGTTCCTTGAATGAGAAGATGTCACCGTCCCATTTCAGAATTCCCTGGTTATCACACACCCACACTTCTTCGGCCACCTGGAAGTGAATTTTTCAGGTTAAATTACATGATTCTTGGCTTAAAAAGCGTGAAAAATGACCCAGAAATCATGAATATTTACCTAAAGGCTATGAAAATCAACTTTTAAGTTAGAGCCAATTTTCATGATTTTCGGGTCATTCTCCATGATTTTTTGACCATTTTTTCCATGATTTTTGGTAATTTTTCATGATTTTAGAGCCGATTTCTCGTAATTTTCAGAGCCAATTATCATAGTTTTTGGGTTCATTTTGAAGATTTTAAATTGTAGAACTTTGAAAATTAACTCTGAAATTATGAAAATTGGCCCTAAAATATTATGATTATCGGGGTTTGGGTGATTTTCCACGATTTAGAGCCAAATTTCCATGATTTCTGAGCCATTTTTTCACGAATTCTAGATCCAGGACCCCTTTTCCATACCTGCGAAACAAGTCGGAAATCGTGAGAAACAAGGATCATTCCTCCCGGGAAGCAGTTGATAGCCTCGGCCAGCGCGTCGATGGATTCCATATCCAAGTGATTCGTCGGTTCGTCAAGAAGCAGAAGATGTGGTTGTTGCCAAGCCAGCCAGGCGAACGAGACACGACAACGTTGACCGTCGGATAGTTGTTTCATTGGGCACACCTGGAAATTAGAAGGTTTGGAAGTCAAAATGGCGACATTGAGGCTTAAATTTGGAGCTGAAAATCCAATTTTTAGACTAGAAACCTCAAATTTTTTAGAAAAATAAATGCGATTTTTTGATAATTTAGAGTAAAAAATGGTGAGAATCTTGGTGTTTTTAAGCTGGAAATGACGAATTTGAAGCTAAAAGTACTAGAATCTCGGCTAGAAATCTCGCTGATTTGAGGTTAGGAATCTCGAATTTCAGGCTAGAAATCTCATAATTTTGGGCTAAAAATCACTAATGTGGGGTTGAAAATGGCGCATTTCAGGCCAGAAATCTCATATTTTTGAGCCTAGAAATCTCAAATTTCTGGCTGGAATTCTCCTATTTTCGAGCTCAAAAACCTTAATTTTGGTGCAAAAATCTCAATTTTTCTTTCTACAATTACCTGTTCTCTTCCAGTGATTCCATATCGTCCAACAATCTTTCTCATCTCCTCCTTCTCCTTGACATCTGGGAACTCCTTCATCATGAATTCTAATGCAGATAGGTCGAGTGGAAGCTCCTCGTGGAGATGCTGCAAGAAACGTGAGATTTTTTGAAGAAAAAGACTCAGATTTTAGTCAAATTTTCAATTATTTCCATCTGTTTTTCTATAAAAGGAAAGCTTCCTGCTCAGAGAGGGGATGAGGTACAGTAGCTTTTGGGGAATTTGGGGCTTAAACTGAGCAATCTATCTTCCAGCGAATCAAAAGAAACCGATAACAAAGTGAGCCCACCTCCTAAAGAGGATCCAAAAGACGAGAAAAAGGATGAAGAGCAAATGAAGACTGCAAAATCAGCCAGTCTCCGCAAAGGAAGTGCCAAACGCTCGAAAAAGTCATCTGGGAGCAGTAAGAGCAGCAAGAAGACCCGTTCACGGCTCTCGATTCGTCGTACCTTGCGGGATGATCCGGAGAAGGAGATGAAGGTAGTTTTGTGGGGTGAAATGAGCACAAAAAGAACTTAGAGGCTCAAAAGGGCTCAAAATGAGCTTTAAAATCTGCTCGAAAGAGCTCAAAAGGGTTTGAAATAAGCTCAAAACAAGTTCAAAACGAGCTCAGAGGCTCAAAAGAGCTCGAAATGAGCCCAAAATGAGCTTAGAGGCTTAAAATTAGCGCAAAAATATGCTCAAAATGCCTTGTCAAGCCTCAAAAACAGCCTATATTTCCTCCAAATTCGTAAATATCCAGCCTTCCAAACTATTCCAGGCCACTCTCCTAACCTTCCAAGCTGTCAAAGGCAAGCCTGAACAAGCCCGTGTGCAGCTCCTCCTCTGCAACATCTCCGACCGTGACATCTTCGTCAAACTCCGTTGTAGCGCCGCTTCCAACGTCAACGCCCTCCCCGCCGGCTCCGGACACATCGCCCCAAAATCGCAAATGCGTATTCTGCTCACTTGGAAGATGCCAGAGGGATTCACTCAATGGAAGGACCTGCGTATGCCGAAACTGCTGCTAACCACGTATTTCTTGCAATCCGGAGAGAAATCCGTGGATGAGGCACCGACCAACACTCGTCTCATGGCTCGTGTCAGCACTTCGAAGCAGTGTGATCCGGATACTCCACCGATTGAGCAACTGCTTCTAGACGCTGTTGGCAAGGATACTGGGGTTACTCCGTGAGTGAGAAATCCTATTTTGTGCAGTTTTGGGGGGTCAAAAATCGCATTTAAGAGCTCCAAAATCATTATTTGAGCAGAAAAACCCCTATTTGGCCAGTTTTGGGGTCAAAAATCGCCCGAAAATTGCCACTTTGACTAGTTTTAAAGTCAAGAATCGCTTTTGAGCAGAAAAATCCTGCTTTGGCCTATTTTAAGTCAAAAATAGCCTATGAAAACTCAAAAATTCTATTTTTCCAGTTCAAAAACCCATTTTGGGGTCAAAAATTGCCTGAAAACGTTCCCATGACACCTAGAAAACCCCAAAAAATCTCATATTTCCAGAGCCCCTACAACCAGCCCCAACACTGCTGTGCCTACAACTACAACTCCTACAGAGCCCACGCCAGCGTTTAAAACCGTGAAAAAAGACGAGCAAAAAGAGGAGGAGGAAGTGGACAACTTGAGATGGATCATTATTGTGCTTATCATGATTATTGTCCTCCTTTTGCTTCAGAAATAGACTAAACCTGGAATAAATGATTGTTTGCCTATAATTTACCTGATGATATCTTCCAATTTTACAATGCGAATGTCTTCTGATCAAACCATCAGTCGGCATCACATCCGAACACAACAACTTCAAAAGTGTCGACTTTCCGGCTCCATTCGGTCCTACCAACGCGATTCTGGTATCCAAATCGATACCGAAATCGATATCTTTGTAGATCCATGGAGTATTCTCGTTATAACGGAAGGAGACGTGCTGAACCATAATGACAGGTGGTGGAATCTCTCCAGCGTCGAAGAAGTAGAACTGTTTGACTGTTTCTGTGACAGCCTTCTCTGTGAGCCCTCCAGCGATCATCTTAGCCATAGTCTTCTCCTTGGACTGAGCCTGACGAGCCAATTTGGCGGATCCGTGACCAAATCTCGCAACATAATCCTTCATATGCTGCAGTTGAGATTGTTCCCAGTTGTAGCGTTTCTGTTGGTTTTCCAGCAATTCCAGACGAGTCTTCACGAATTGATCGTAGTTTCCTCCGTAGTAGACCAGTTGTTTTTGGAATAAATGAATGATGTTGGTGCAGACACCGTTCATGAAATCCTGAGAGTGAGAGACTACCAACAACGTTCTCTTGTATTGGGACAGCTCCTCTTCCAGCCAGACACAAGCCTCTAAATCCAAGTGATTGGTTGGCTCATCGAGCAGAAGGACCGAGGGTTTCAGGTAGAGAGCGCGAGCCAGAGCGATACGCATTCTCCATCCTCCCGAGAAATCCTTGCACTTTTTCATTTGCATAGTTTTGGTGAATCCGAGTCCGTGCAGAATTTCAGCAGCCTTCTTTTCAGCCAACTCTGCGTCCATTTCATCCAACCTCTCGTACACATCCATCAGCTTCTCCTGACTCTCCTCGTCTGGCTGTCCGGCGAGTTGCTCAGCCAGGTGTTCCAGCTCTTTACGCACCGAATCAACATCAACGACGGCTTGAAGAGCGGTCATTTCGGAAGCTGGCATTTCTCTGGAGACTAGATACATGTCTACAGACTCGGGGATTGGCATTTCCTTATTGTAGATCGCTTGCAAGACGGTGGATTTTCCAGAGCCGTTGAGTCCGATGAGACCGTAGCGGCGACCACGATTCAGCTCGAGTTTCGTGTCAACGACGATTTCACGTCCATGGAAGGTGATCTGGAATAGGGAAATTGTGATTTTTGGAATTGGAAAAATGAAAATTGTCTCAAAAAACTTAATTTTTGCTCAATTTTCCATCACTATCGGTAATCTGGAATAGGAAGAATAGTGATTTTCAGAGGTTTTTTCAGCGAAATTTTAGCTGGAAAATTGTGAAAAATGCTATTTTTATGTAGCTTTGACTTCTAAAAATTTGTTTTTAGGCGAAAATTTTCAGATTTTTAAGAGTTTTTAGCTAATTTTCCGCTATATTTATAAACATTAGACCTAAAAATTCGGTTTTTGAGCTCGAAAATGAGTTTTTCACACGAAAATTCAGCTAAAAACGGTGAAAATACTCCCTAAAGCGAGAATTTCGGATAAAAAACAGCAAGAAATCGCATTTTTCGCATAAATCAAGCCAAAATCGGCCAATTTCCCTTACCGTCAAGCTCTCCACTCGATGATCCAAACCCTTTGGATCGGAAGTCAGCGCTCCGGCGACAGATCTGGCGGCGGCGTTCTCCAATTCGATTTTGGCAAGCGTGGCGGCTGCCTGATCGAGCTCCTCATCGAGAGCAGTGAGACTGACGACAGACGCGTTCTCTGAGATCGATGGGGTCACTTCCTGCAATTATTTTTGATAATTTTAGAGTCAATTTTTGGAATTTTTGGGTATTTTAAAGGTGGGGGAAATGAGAAAAATAATGTTGTCGAAATCCCGTTTAAATATGCTCCTCAAGGAGTTGAACTTGTCGAGACAAGTATTGAAGGTGCGGCGCCGCTACCGACTGAGCTACGCGTGCAAAGAGAAAGCCGCTGCCCGATTGCATACATAAAGGCGAAGGCGACAGCTGTACGCAGAGTGACATTAAGCGTTGCACACCGTCACGGTAGAATGCATACTCTGGCCCCAAAAATCCCCCGTAAAATCTCCTGTCCCCCCACCTTTAAACTCTAAATTTCAGAATCTGTGGGTTTTCGAAGCTCAACATCTCAATTTTTTGAAAGATTTTAACTCAAAAATGCAGTATTTTTAAAGTTTTTTTAAGCTCAAAATCTGAAATTTTGCAATTTTTAGAAAGATTTTAACTCAGAATTTCGGAATTTTTAGGTTTTTCAAACTCAAAAATTTCAAATTTCTCACCTTCTTCTTTCCCTTTCCTCCTTTCGCGGCGGCCTTCTTGGCTGCTTCGCGCGCTTTCTTCGCATCAGACGGCATTTTTGGTCCAGCAGTGATGCGGATGGGGTACCCTAAAATTTTGGTTTATTTAATTTTAACTGTCACAATTACAAGAATAAGGTAAAAAGAACGAGAAAAAGCGGAAAAAAAGCAAAATCTAGAGAAAAGAGGCTTAAAAATTGGATGAAAATTGGTTTATTTCAAGGAAGCGAAGGCCTTTGGCATGGCGCAATGGTCCAAATGGTGGACGTAGTCGGCCATCTCCTGATGGCACGTCTCTTCGGTCTCGGAGCGAGAGTTGACACGATCGTTGCACTCGTCGAGGATCGCCTTGAATTCGGTGACGTGTTCGGCACAACGCTCGCGGAATTGGGTGAGCTGGTCGACGTTCTCCTCGAGTGGCTCTTGCTTGTGGCTCGACATGGCTAGGGGAAGATACCTGGAAAAAATAGAATTTTTCATTGCAATTGGGAAGAAATCAGGGTTTCCAGAGCGAAAAAATCCATTTTTAGGTGAAAATTCGGTGAAAAATGGCCAGAGAAATGACCAGAAAATAGGAAAAAATGAGAAAAAGGGATATTTTTTCCAAAAAAATCGAGACAAAAAATCAAAATTTTCTGGATAATATGAAGAAAAAGAGCATTTTTAAGCGAAAAATACATCTTTTTCATCAAAATTTCCATTAAAAAGCGAAAAAAAAACCTATTTATCGATTCGCCGGTCGGAAAGTTCTAGAACCAGTTTTTTTTGTGGCCGATAGTGAGTAAACAAAAAATAAGGGGTGTTTATCAGTCGAGAATATTTGTTTCCATCATTGTTTTCCGATTTTTAGGGATTCCTCGAAAAATTGCGAAAATTCGAATTTGTCTAGATTTTTGCAATTTGTAGCGAAAAATTCCCCAATTTCAGGTCTATTTTTGCTCAAAAAGCGATTTTTGACATCTTTTACTTAGAAAAATCGGGAACAACAGCAAAAATAGGCTATAAAAAATCGAAAAATGCGAAAATTTCGAAATTCTCATTTTTTTTCCAGATTTTTGCAATTTTTTGCGAAAATTTCCCCAATTTTCCCCTAATTTTCAGCTAAAAAATTCGATTTTAGCACGTTCAACTGATTATTGACACTTTTTGCCCGGAAAAATCGCTTGAAAATCAAAAAAATACAAAAATTTCGAAATTCTTATTTTTTCTCGATTTTCAGCTAAATTTTTCGATATTTCAGGCCGATTTGTAGCTTAAAAATTCGATTATAGCACCTGCAGCTGATTTTTCTGACTTTTTACATAGAAAAATCGATTAAAAAACCGGGAAAATAGGCCGAAAAAAAGAGGGAAAATCCCAAAACTGGGCGGGCGGGCCGAAACTCGAGTTTGAATCGCCGCGCTCGCCTAACCGTAGTCGCGCGCGTGGCGAGACCCGCAAAATGCTTCACGGGCTGTGCGCGCACCGCTCTCGACGGGCGGCCGCGCCTTTCCCACTATTGCTTCTGGCAAGCACCGACCACCGAGGTCCTTCAATCTTGAATCATGTCCAAAGAAAAGTCCTTCGACACCAGAAAGTTCTTGATCGATCTCGCCTCCGGAGGTAAGTAAACGTCTTATTTGCTGTCAAATTTAGGCCAAAACTTCTGGAAATCCTAAAAATCCAGGATTTTTCGATATTTTCCTGGATTTTTCGGTTTTTTTTTCGAAAATAATTCCTCTCTTTCTAAATTATTTTTTTCCAGGTACCGCTGCTGCCGTCTCCAAGACCGCTGTCGCCCCAATCGAGCGTGTCAAGCTTCTCCTCCAGGTCCAAGATGCTTCCAAGACCATCACCGCCGACAAGAGATACAAGGGAATCATGGACGTTCTCGTCCGTGTGCCAAAGGAGCAAGGAGTCGCCGCTCTCTGGAGAGGAAACCTCGCTAACGTCATCAGATACTTCCCAACACAGGCTCTGAACTTCGCTTTCAAGGATACCTACAAGGCAATCTTCCTTGAGGGACTTGACAAGAAGAAGGACTTCTGGAAGTATGTTAAACCTGATTTTCAGCGTTTTTAGCAGAATTTAATCGTCCAAGTTCAGGTTCTTCGCTGGAAACTTGGCTTCCGGAGGAGCTGCTGGAGCCACCTCCCTCTGCTTCGTCTACCCACTCGACTTCGCCCGTACCCGTCTTGCCGCTGATATCGGAAAGGCCAACGATCGTGAGTTCAAGGGACTCGCTGACTGCCTCGTCAAGATCGTCAAGTCTGACGGACCAATCGGACTCTACAGAGGATTCTTCGTCTCCGTGCAAGGAATCATCATCTACCGTGCCGCCTACTTCGGAATGTTCGATACCGCCAAGATGGTCTTCGCCGCTGACGGAAAGAAGCTCAACTTCTTCGCCGCCTGGGGAATCGCTCAAGTCGTCACCGTCGGATCCGGAATTCTTTCCTACCCATGGGACACCGTCCGTCGTCGTATGATGATGCAATCAGGACGCAAGGACATCCTTTACAAGAACACCCTCGACTGCGCCAAGAAGATCATCCAAAACGAAGGAATCTCCGCCATGTTCAAGGGAGCCCTCTCCAACGTTTTCCGTGGAACCGGAGGAGCCCTCGTCTTGGCCATCTACGACGAAATCCAGAAGTTCATCTAAATCTAATGACATTTTGAAACCTTTTTACCTTGTCATTCTCCAACAAAATCTCGTTATGTAGCTTGTTTTAGCAAAGTAGTATATAGATAGCTACTTTGTTAAGTTTCCAAAAATAAAGCGAGCCACATAAAAAGTTTTAAACCCTTCTTTTCTTTTTCCTCTATCAAGTTTCATCCTTTCAATTTTGAAAATTCTCTCATTCGCCCACACCACCCCGATTGAACATTCTTTAGATTAGCGACCCCTTTCTCTAGTTTCGGTTTGACAAATCTCGGTTATTGCACCTGTGTTTGCCGTTGATCTTAAAAAAATACTCGAGCAACAATAAAACTCCAGTTGTTGTAGTCTTCACCTTGCACTTTTTTAGGATGGATTCAAAACCGTAGCCATTTATTAGAGGAGATTCGCAAGCAATGAGATTCATTTGGGGGTCAAAGTGGAAAAAGGGGAAGTGAATAGGCAAAAGCGATTAAAAGAGAGAGACTAGACATCGGAGGTGTCCGCAAAGTAGGCATGACGTAGGGCCGTGTCCGCATCGATTCTTCCAGCCGGATTGCACACAAGAAGCTTCTGCAGAAGATCACGTCCACGAGTATTCAAATTGGGTACGATTTGGCTCCAAGTCAGTGTCGGATTGTAGGTTGGGAATGGCTGGAATTTCAGACATTTTGTTTTTTTTTGGTTTTTTCTGATATCATCAATCACTTTCTGGTTCTTTGTCTTTCTTTTTTATCTTTTTTCTGTTCCGCCCGTTTCATACGAATTACGTCAGAAGAACAAACAGCTGGAGAGAGAGGGCCCAAAGTACTCTCTTTTCGTCACTTGACACAGGCGGAAAGTAATGCAGCAGCTGCGTGGATTCAGCAAAAAGAACAAGATGATAAGAAGAGAAATTTAGGAGAGAAACGGGGACAAAATTTGATAAGATAGGTGCCTCTAGAGGGGAAATTTGATACTCCAAAGTACAAAAATAGCATCGGAAAATTGAAAATTCCGGTTTTTGGGGGCGAGAATGGTGATTTTTGCCCGAAAAATTGACGTTTTTAGGGCAAAAATGGACTAAAAATCGAGAAAAAAAATTCAAGCGGGTTACTGTCGCCAAAAGCCCGCAATACACCGCGTACGGTGTATTGCTGACTGTCGTCAGATTCGCTGCAGAAGGATTAATTTCGGCCTAAATTTCAGGTTTTTTTGGGGAATTTCAGTGTAAAATAGCGGAAAACGGATAGAAAAATTTTGAGATGAAAAATATCTAAAGATCGCTGAAAAATTGAAAATTTTTTTTTGAAAAAATTGAAAATTTCCTGATGATTTTTGACATTTTGCAGTCATTTTTTTGTTCTAGAAATAGCTGAAAACGTCGAATTTTTAACAGCCAAAAAATGCTTAAAATCGCACATTTCAGGCCATTTTTCTCCTAAAAACCCATTTTTACCTTATAATCCGGCAACTGACTAATCGATGGCCAACTCTCCTCAGTTGGACTTCCCAACTGTTTGAAAATCCGCTTCAGCTGATCATCGACATCGGCGCCGGGGAATAGTGGGCGGCCGGCGTTGGAGATTTCTGGAAAAATCGGTTTTTTTCAGTGGAAAATTAAGCTCCGCCCCCTTTTAAGCCTGAAATTAGCTAAAAATGACCATTTTCGAGCTTTTTTTGGGGTCAAAAAGGGATTTTAGGCTTAATTTTATCGATTTTTCGACAAAAAAATGGGAAAAAAATCTGAAAATTTACAATTTTTGGGCCTAAAATTGAAGTTTAATTAGTTATTTTTAGAGATGATTTTTCGGGGGTTTCTAGCTCATTTTCAGCCGATTTTCCTCATTTTTCCATCAATTTACCTGCAAAAATGCATCCGGCGGACCACATATCAATGGAAGTATTGTATAATTTGGCGCCAAAAAGCACGTCTGGCGGGCGGTACCATAGGGTAACGACTTCTGCACTGAAACATCTCACAGGGACACCGAATGCCCTCGCAAGACCGAAATCCGCCAATTTCAGTGTCCCATTTGTGTTGATTAGCAGATTTTGGGGTTTTAGATCACGATGGAGGACGTGGTGCGAGTGACAGAATGAGAGACCACGAAGCAGTTGCAGCATTAGGGAACGGGCGGTCTGGAAGAGGGGGAAATTTTAAATATTTGGGGAAAAATTTTTTTTTTTAATTTAAAAAAAAATCATTTTTAGGTGAATATTAGACGATTTTCATCACTTTTTTGAGCTTTAAAAATTCGGAAAAAAAATTGAAAATTAAAAATTTTTTGAAGCAGAAGTTTTTAAAAAAATTGAATTTTTTGAAAAAAAAATTTGAAAAAATGTAAAATTTTTGAATTTTTTGAAAAGAAACATTTTTTCAAAAAATCATTTTTGACCACTTTTAGATCATTTTCAGCTCAAATTTTCGATTTTTATCATAATTTTGAGCTTAAAAAATCTGGAAAATTTGTGAATTTACTGAAGCAGAAATTTTGGAAAAAAATCGAAAATTTTCAATAAAATAAAAAAAATTGAATTTTATGAATCGATTTTAGATTAATTTTAGCTTATATCTTCCATTTTTATCACATTTTTGGGCTTAAAAATTTTGGAAAAAATTGAAATTTTTGAATTTTTTGAAAAAATCGAAAATTCTGAATTTTTCGAAAAAAAAAATTGAATTTTTCGGAAATTATTTTTTAAAAAAATCATTTTTTACAGATTTTAAGTCAATTTCAGCTCAAATTTTCGATTTTTATCATATTTCGAGCCTAAAAAGTGCTTAAAACGACCAAAATGGTATTTTTTAAAGAAAATGCAAAAAAATTATTTTTCTAAAAATATTAAAAATCATTGTTCATCGATTTCAGGTCAATTTGAGCTCAAATTACCGATTTTTTCACAATTTTTAGCCCAAAAAGTGCTTAAAAACGACCAAAAATGATATTTTTCAAAAAAAAAATCCGAAAAACATTTTGAATTTTTCGAAAAATTTAAATTTTTCGAAAAAATTGAACATTTTGAATTTTTCGAAAATTTTTTTTTTCAAAAAATCGCTGTTTTGAATCGATTTTAGATCAATTTCAGCTCAAATCTTCGATTTTCAGCATACTTTTTAGCCTAAAATGTTCCTAAAGTCTCAAACCTGCGCATCCATATAACCATTCAACGAGTCGAAGAACTTCTTCAAATCCTGATCGCAAAACTCGAAAACCAGTGTTAGTTTGTTCTCCGAATGGACCACATCGTATAAACGGACCACATTCCTATGTTTGAGCTCTCGAAGGATGCAAATTTCTCGCAAAGCTGAGCTGGGCACTCCCTGGAATTCAAAAATTGATTTTTTGCAATTTTTTTCAAAAATTTTTGAGTTTTTTAGCAATTTCTAGCCATTTTCAGCAGCTTTTTGTAATATTTTAACCCAGAAATTCCGGGAAAAACATGAAAAATTCAAAATTTCGTTAAATTTTTTTTGCATTTTTAGATTTTTTTTTCAATTTTTCAGGAAATTTCCCTAATTTACCTCATCATCATCATCCAATCTGACCCTTTTCAGCGCCACGATCTCACCACTACTCTTGTTTCTGGCTTTAAACACCGTTCCATATGTCCCTGAAACCTTTTTTCTTGATTTTTAGGTGGATTTTTAGGTTTACCCTCTCCAATCTTCTCCATTTTATCGTAATTGTGCATTTTTTAGCAAAAATATGAGAGAAAAAGCGGAAAAAGCGGCGAAATTCGATAATTTTTCCATGAAGGTCAAGTTGACCCATCAAATGGCTGCTGGCGCAATTTTCGTGTGTCCCTGCGTCTCTCAATTGCGCGCGCTCTGTTTAGAGTGGTTTGTTGGCGCGATTCTCGTGCAGTGAAAATAAATTGATTTTTCCGGATTTTCTCATAATTTTTCGCAGAAAATGGGTGAAATCGAGGAGCCAAACATCACAGAACTAGTGGATCGCATCGGGCGAATTCCCCTATGCACAGATGACGATTATGACTTTCAAAAATTGGAAATTCTGGATGAAATGTACCGGAAAAGCTACGAAATCTTCAATGAGATGCGCTCAAAGTGTCAGCTATGTGATGTGGCGCTGGTGGTGGAGAGCCGGAAGCTCTCGGCGCATAAGGTGTGCTGAAAAATCTGAAAATTTGAAAAAAAAATTTCATTTAAAAATCTGAAAATTCAGGTAATTCTGGCCGCTACAATTCCATATTTCCGCGGGATGTTCACTCTGGACATGATGGAAGCCAGTATGAAGGAGATTAAAATTGAAGGTGTGCTGAAAATTCTGAAAATCTGAAATTTTTTGAAAAATTTGAATTTTTCCAGATATGAACTACGAGACTGTAGATGCCCTGTTATCATTTGCGTACACCGGGGAGCTCAGGATTTCGACGAGTGAGCCATTTTTTGAAAAAATTCAAAATTTTGAAAAAAAAATTTTAAAATTTTTGAATATTCCGAAACAAAATTTTTGACAAAATCGAAAATTTTGAATTTTCCGAAACAAAAATTTTGAGAAAAATCGAAATTTTTTTGTTCCAAAAAATTCAAAAGTTTCGATTTTTCAAAAAAAAAAAATTTTTTTAATCGAAAATTTTGAATTTTTCGAAACAAAAATTCTTTAAAAAATTAAAAAATTTCAATTTTTTGAAACAAAAAATTTGAAAAAATCGAATTTTTTGAATTTTTCAAAACAAAACTTTTTTGAAAAAATCGAAAATTTTGATTTTTTCGAAACAAAATTTTTTAGAAAATCGAAAATTTTTAATTTTTGGAAAAAAAAATTTTCCCAAAAATTCAAATTTTTCGAAAAAATTTTTTTTCAAAAATTTCAGATTTTCCAAACTTCCAGGCAACGTCCAATCGATAATGTTGGGCGCCAACTTCTTCCAAATGCAAGAAGTCGTTCAGCACTGCGGAGACTTCCTTATCACACGTCTCCATCCCTCAAACGCCCTGTCCATCAGGGATTTTTGTAAACTAATGAATGTGGATAGGAATGTGACGAATAAGACTGAAGATTTCATTCAAGTGAGGAAATTTTTTTTGGATGGAAATACAGAAAATTTGGGAAAAATTGAGCAAAAAATCGTGAAAAATGAGCAATTTCCAGCCCAATATCGATAAATTTCGAGTTTTAGTGATTATTTTTTTGCATTTGTGTTTAGACGGCCTTAAAACACAATTTCGGCTTTAAAATTGAGTTCAGCGTCTTCAAGTTTGCTGAAAGTTGCGAAAAAACGGAATTTCAAAAAATTTTAGCAAACGCGCTCCAATGCAAATTTTCTCCAAAACATGCTTGAAGAGCACTTTTCAGTGCTCAAACAGCTCAAAATCGAATTCCCCACCGAAAACTAGCTCAAGAACCTTGAAAAAAACCGATTTTTTCGAAAATTTCGCAAATGCGCTCCAATGCAAATTTTTCCCAAAACATGACTAAAAATCACTTTTCAGTGCTCAAACTGTTTAAAATCGAATCTCCGATCGAAAACTACCCCAATAACCTTGAAAAAACGTAATTTCAAAAAATTTTAGCAAACGCGCTCCAATGCAAATCTCTCTCAAATTCCGCTTAAAACAGCTCAAATTTCGTCTAGTCTTCGCAATTTTGGGTTAAAATTTGAATTTTTTGCCAGAAACGACTTAAATCACTCGTTTTATCACTAGAACTTCAAAAAAAAAGTTTTTTTTTTCGAAAATTTCAAACTCCAAAAGAGATTTTTTAATTTCAGAAACATTTCACATCAGTCGCGAAGGATGAGGATTTCAAGAAATTATCACTAGAAGATACAGTAATCCTTTTGGATAGTGATAATTTATATGTGGATTCTGAGGAGCAGATATTCAATGCAGCAATGGAATGGCTGAAATATGATAAAACGAGGCATCAGGACGCGGCAAAGTAAGTGCGCCCCATTGGACAAAATTTGGGAAAATTTGAATTTTTGGAAAAAAATTTCGAAAAAAAATTTTTTTTTGAAAAAATCAATTTTTTGTCAAAAAAAAGTCCGAAAAACGCAAAATTTTGACAGTTTTAAGCTGAAAATCGTCTTTTTCAGCCAGCGCTCCAATGCTCTCAATGCTCCAGCGCTCCAATGGACAAAATTTTTAAAAAATTGTTTGAAAAAATTATAGGCATTTTTTAGCTCAAAATTCCTTAAAATCCAAAATTTTGTTTCACCCAAAAATTCAAAAAATTCAAATCCCCGCCTATATTTTTTCTTCCAGAATCCTCCTGTGCGTCCGCCTTCCATTGCTCAGCCCAACGTTTCTCTCGTCGGCAGTCGCCACGAACTCAATTATCAAAAAGGATATACCGTGTCGGGATTTGGTAAGATTTGGTTTTTGGAATTTTCAGATTTTTCAGGCTGAAAAAGTTGGAATTGCTGAAAATTGACGACTTTCGGCCTTAAAAGTTGGAAATTGACCATTTTTGGCTCAAAAAATCGAAAATTTGACAATTTTCAACCCGAAAAAGATGAAAAACCCGGCTAAAATTGGTCAATTGACCGTATTGCTCAGCTTAAAAATTGAACAAGAAAATGTTTGAAAAATTAATTTTTTTTCCAATTTTCGCACTAAAAATAGTTTTTTAGCTCAAATTTCATGATTTTAACATATTTTTGCTCTAAAAATCACTATTCTCAGCATATTTCAGCGCTGAAAAATCTGAAAATTGTCAAAATGTGATTTTTGGCTCATTTGTATGTTAAAAAAAATCAATTTTTAGCCGAAATTTCATGATTTTCACACAGTTTTTGAGCTGAAAATCATCTTTTCAAGCTATTTTGATAACGATAAATCTGAAACTTGAGAAAAAAGTTTTTTTTTTGAAAAATGGAAATTTTAGAAAAATACGTTTGTTTGGTTTTTCTGTTGAAAATCACACTTTTCTGCTCAAATTTTATGATTTTTGGCATATTTTAACCCAAAAATTACTATTTTTAGCATGTTTTGATGCCCGAATTGTCTGGAATTCGGAGAACAAAAAAAAAATGAAATTTTCGAAAAAAATTGCTTTTTTTTCCAATTTTTGCACTAAAAATCTTAATTCTAGCTCGCTATTCTTGATTTTTGGCATATTTTAACCCTAGAAATTTCATTTTTTTTTCAGACTATTTCGACCCCCGAAATCTCTGAAATTTCGTGAAATTTCACATTTTCCAGCTCGAATTTCTCGATTTTTGACTCATTTTTTGCCCTAAAATGCCCAAAAATTGCTTGAAAAAATTTTTCCTCTCTCAGATCGACGAAGCGAAAGACTATCACCTTCTACCGGAACGCCGCCAATTCTTAAAATCTTTTAAATGCTGTCCGCGAGCATGTCAACGGATTCCTGGACTAATTGTGGCGATCGGAGGTCTAATGCATCAGAGTCAATCGAAATCGTCGGTCGAGATTTATAATCCTATTCAGGTGATTTTTGGGAAATTTTGAATTTTTTGAAAAAAAATATTTTTGAATTGTTTAAAATTTATAAAAACTATCAAATTCTTGGTTTCCTGCTGAAAAATCGCTTGAAAATTCCCGAAAAATAGTCAATTTTGGGCCGAAAAATCCGAAAAATGACGCATTTTCGAAAAGTCTGCAAATACCGCGCACCTGACGCTCATTTGCGGACTTTTGGCTACAGTAGTCCCTAATAGAAATAATTCGTTTTTTGGTCGTTTTTAGTCAAATTTTTGGCGTTTTTCGATAGAAATTTAGACTAAAATTGATGAAAATAAGGGAAAAATGAAAAAAGTTCTGAAAATTCTAAAAAATTGAAAAAAAATTTTTTTTTGAATTTTTTGAAAATTAAAAAAAATTTCTTCAATTTTTCATTTAAAATGTGTAGATAATGAGTCAAATTGACTAAAAAATTATGAGAAACCATTAGAAAATCGAAAATCCGGGAAAAAAATTTTTCAATGGAATTTTCGAATTTCAGAGTTTAAAAAACCGATAAATCTGTTAAAAATCCATAAAAACCATCAATTTCTCAATTTTCAGCATGAAAATCACCGAAAAAACCCAAAAAAACGTCGAATTTTTGTCAATTTTGACTCAAAAAATGACGCATTTTCGAAAAGTCCGCAAACACCGCGCACCTGACGCTCATTTGCGGACTTTTGGCTACAGTAGTCCCTAAGGGAAATAAATCTTTTTTTGGTGAATTTTCAGCGTTTTTAAGCCGGAATTGAGCTAAAAATTGATGAAAATGAAAGAATAATGTCAAAGAAGTTCAGAAAATCGAAAAAAAAATTTGAAAAATTGGAAAAAAAATTGTTTTTCGAAAAAAATTGTTTTTTGAGATTTTTGAATTTTGCTGTCTAAAATCTTGAAAAAAAGAGAGATTTTCAGAAGAAATGGTCATCGATCGAAGGAGTAACCACATTGAGGACTCGTGTGGGTGTAGCTGTCCACAAGAGACAAGTGTATGCAATTGGAGGATTTAATGGGCAGGATAGGATGGATTTGGTAGAAAAATTCGATTATGATACGTTGAATTGGGTTAAGGTGAGAAAAAAGAACACATTTGAGCTAGAAATACAGAAATTTAAAAAAATTCTGAAAAAAAAATTTTTCTTGAAAATTTTTTTTCAAAATTTCCCACTACAGTAATCCTGAAAAATTTGAATTTTTCTAATTTTTAACGATTTTCAACCATTTCCCCTCAAAAAAATTCCAAAAAAAAATGCAAAAATCGAAAAAAAAATTTTCTGAAATTTTCCAAAATTCCAGCTTTCCCCTCTGAACAGAAAACGGTCCGCCTTGGCAGCTGCATTTGTCTCAAATCGACTATACGTTTGTGGTGGATACGATGGAAATCATAGTCTATCCACAATGGAAATTTATGATATTAACAAGAATATCTGGGAACCCGGACCACCGATGGAGAATCAGAGGAGTGCCGCGGGGGTTACGGTACTTGGGAAACATATTTATGGTGAGAGGCTTTTTCTAGACCACCAGAGCTTTCCAATGCATTTTTCAGAACTCAAAAATATGAATTTTGAGTCAAGATACGCCACTTTAAAGGCTGGTGGCCTAGAAACCAAAATTTTGGGTTTTCTAGGCCACCAATCCAAATGAGACCAAAATTTGTGAACTCGCCTCGTTCTCAGCTTTAAAATGAGTATAATCATGTCTATATTCTAGCAAATTCGAGATACAGTCAGAAAACGCGCTCCATTGAGAAAACCCAGAAAAATTGTCATAACTTTGTTCCTTTCGAAGATAGAAAGTTGATTTTAAAACGTGAATCTTCAAAAAAAAACGAGACGAATTCAAAAATTTAGCTTGTTCTTCATTTTAACCGAAATTTACAAAAATTATCAACGGAGCGCATTTTCAAAAAAGTTTTGGAAATCGAAGAAAATTATTATCATTTTGAAGCGCTTCGAATTTCAAGTATTCTAGTAAAAAAATCACTCTAATATCTTCAAAATGAACAAAGTTATGACAATTTTTCTGTTTTTTCTCAGTAGAGCGCGTTTTCTGGAATTTTTGAAAATCACTGAAATGTAGGCGTGTTTATACTCATGTTGAAGCTCTCAACAAGACAAATTCAAATTTTCTGTCAGTTTTCTATTTTGACCGAAATTCCCAAAAATGATCAATAGAGCGCATTTTCTTTAAAAAAATTAGAATTTCAGAAAAATTATTATTATTTTGAAGCGCTTAGAATTTCAGAGCTTTTGGTGACAAAATCACTGTTCTATCTTCATAACGAACAAAGTTATGACGATGTTTGTGACTTTTCTCAATAGAGCGCATTTTCTGAAAATTTTCACAACTTCTCGAATATAGTCATGATTATACTTATTTTGAAGCTGAGAACATGGGAAATTCAAAAATGTACGTTTCAATTGGTACCAAATTCCCAGTTTTCTAGGCCACCAACTTCATAATGGCGTAACTTGGCTCAGTTTGCATATTTTTGAATCGGAAAACGCCAATGGATAGCTCTAGGCCTTCAATTTCATCTTATTTGTAAAATTCAATTTTCAGTTTGTGGTGGTCACGATGGGATGCAAATATTCGGAAGTGTCGAACGTCTAGACACCGAATCTCAACAATGGGAACGAATTCCGTCGATGATTCAACAGAGATGTCGTTTTGGGGCGGCAACGTACAAAGGGAAAATTTATGTGGCCGGTGGTTATGATGGAACGTCTTTCTTGAAATCTGTGGAGGTTTACGATCCAATTGAGAAAGAATGGGCTCCCTGCTCGGCGATGAATATGAGGAGAAGTCGAGTTTCATTGGTGGCAACCAATGAGGGACTGTTTGCAGTTGCTGGGTACGGTAGACCTTCCAAGATGCTATAAAAACCGTCTTTTTAGCACTAAAACTAAGAAAGTTATAGCGATTTTTCTGATTTTTATCATTGGAGCGCGTTTTCTGTTGACCAAAATTTCTTGAAACCTGAATTTTTGAACTTCCCTCGTTCTCAGCTTTAAAATGAGTATAATCATGCCTATATTCTAGCAAGTTTTATAATTTTGAGAAAACGCGCTCTATTGAGAAAATTCAGAAAAATCGTCATAACTCTGTTCATTTTGAAGATAGAACAGTAGTTTTAAAACCTATAAGACGTATAATTCAAAGCGCTTCAAAATGATAATAATTATGACACATTTCCGAAAATGTTTGAAAATGCGCTCTATTGATAATTTTCTAAATTTTGACCTAAATGAAAAACAAACCGGATTTTTGAATTTGTCTTGCTGAGAGCTTCAAAATGAGTATAATCATGCTCATATTCGGGCGAGTTTGGAAAAAGTCAGAAAATGCGCTCTATTGAGAAAATACCGAAATATCGCTATAACTTTGTTAGTTTTATAGCTAGAAAGGCGATTTTTGGAGGGTTCGAACTAGCGAAAATTGCAGACATTTTGACATAATCTTTTTTCCGAAAACTTCAAAAATCAATTTCGACTTTTTTCAGATTCGACGGTGAGAACAATTTGTGCTCAATGGAGCAATACGACGAGACAACGGATCAATGGACCATCTCAACACCATTAACATGTCATGAGGGTGGTGTTGGTGTTGGTGTCATCCCAATGCCCCCGCATATGTTGTAGAAATTTGATTTTCTGGAATTTTTGAAATTTCAATTTTTGTACAAATTCTGTAATTTTCTGTATTTTCCCCTAATTCATGCTTGATGTGTGCAATAGAGCGTAGCTTTTTTGCAATTTTCATATTTAACGATTTTTTCGAAATTTTTCTCATTGGAGCGAATTTGCATTTTTTCGAAATTTTTTCCGATTGTAATCTTCTGGTTGGTGCTAGATTTTCAATTAATAAATTGATTTTTTTTTCTGAAAACTGTGTTATTTTACAAAAAAAATTAATTTTGAAAAATTCCGAAAAATTGAAAATTTGAAAAAATTTTAAATTTCAGTTTTTTTTTCTGAAAATCCTGAAAAAAAAGCTGTGAAAACCACATGAAATATTCTCTAAAAATATGATTTTTAATCTGAAAATCGATAAAAAATCTGAAAATTTCGAAAAAAGGTCGATTATCGATTTTTAGGTTAAATTGAATTTATCAATAATTGCTTTATTAAATTAATTATTTTTATGAGTATCATTATAATTATTAGGTAGAAAGACAAAAAAAACCAAAATAAAAGAAGAATTAGTCGGATCCTAGGCCACGGCCACTACCTCCGCAACAGGCGCGATCGTCTGAACGATTTGACCTCCGAACTACACGGTCGGCGGCACCATTCCAGTTGTTTTGTGTGTGAATTGTGTCTTAATCCATACGAACAAGACATAAAAACTTGACAGCACTCGTTTAACGGACATTTGAAGCCGGTCCGACGGATTTTCTGCTTCACTTCGGCGATTTCCTCCTTCGTTGGCACTGGATCTGTGGGAATTTGGCGTTAGAGCGCGTTTACTGATTTTTTATATTCGAATTTTCGTATTTTGTGTGATTTGTCACTGAAAAACGCGCGTTTAACACAAAAAATCCGATGGAAAAGGAATAATTCTAGTCCGCGCGCGGCCAGTTTTGAAATTATCGATTTTTGTGATTTTTAGGCTTAAAATAGCTAGAAATAATGAAAAAATCGAGAAAAATATCCGGAATTTGGTTTTTACCAGAAAATTAAGTCTTTTTATGCTTGAAATACAAAAAAAGGGCGCGATGGAAGAGGAATAATTCTAGTCCGCGCGCGGCCAGTTTTGAAATTTTTGATTTTTGCGATTTTTAACTCTAAATCAGTGTTTCTATCGGTTTTCGGCAGTCTTTCCGCCAAGTTGTGACTGTTTCAACGAATTTAAGCTCACAAATTATTGAAAAATCGAGATTTTTAAATTTCGCGCCGGCGGGGGCACTAGAAAAATCGATATCGATTTTAATGTCGTTTTTCGGATTCTTCGGATTTTTTGCGATTTTTAACCCAAAATAGATGAAAGCTCTTGAAAAAGAAACGAAAAAATTCTAGAAAAATCGATATTTTCGAAGTTTTTCGGTTTTTCTCCACAGAGCGCATTTTCTCACCTTCTTCTTCCTCGACGTCCGCTCCATTAACTTCTTCTCCGTTTTCCCCATTTTTCAGAACTCCAGAATCTTCTAAATCTTCAGATCTCCGAATAGACAATTTCATGCCGATTGGCTCTTCACAATCTCGAACTTCCTCAGCGCAATCTTCGATTTTCTGAAAAAAATATATATTGAAAGTGCGCTCTATGGCGAAAACAAACAAAAAATTAAGTTTCGCCTCGCTGAGAGCTTCAAAATGAGTATAATCATTCCTATATTCCAGCGAATTTCAAAATATTCAGAAAATGCGCTCCATTGAGAAAAACCAGAAAAACCTCCATAACTTTGTTAGTTTTAGTGCTAGCTTGATGATTTTTGGGCCGTCATGATTGGAATTCAAAGCTCTTTAAAATGAACTTAATTTCAACTAGATTGAAGTATTTTGGAAAGTGCGCCCTATTGATAATTTTCGTAATTTCGGGATTTCAAAGGACGATTTTCATAAAACTTGAAATTTTCCAAGGTTTGGATAGAAGCAGGTGTGCTCTATAGACATTCTGATCAAAACTTAAAAACTCCATTCATGCAAATTCGCTCCACCGCAAAATGTTTTCGACCTACATTAAAATTGTGGCAAGTCTTCCTTCTCGTCTGTTTTCCTTCCTGGCATTCGGACCAACTTTCCCACTTCGAACCGTCGTCTTCCATGTCATTCTCGTGATTCATCAACATTTTGTCAGCGCCAATTGCGTCGGTTTCTGAAAAAGTCTTGTTTGTCCCATAACTTGGTCACTCCGTCTCCAATTCTGACGAAACTTGAGTTTTCGAATTTTTCTCATTCTCAGCTTCAAAATGAGTATAAACATGCTCATATTCAGACGGATTTTTAATAATTCAGAAATTGCGCTCTAATGAGAAAAATTAGAAAAATCGTTATAACTTTGTTCATGTTTAAGATAGAACAGTGATTTTAAGAAGTAGGTGTGTACAATTGAAAGCGCTTCAAAATGAATAATAATTTCAATAACATTCAAAAAATTTTGAAAAAACGCTCTATTGATAATTTTTGTAAATTTTGTCTCAAAATAAAGAATGAACAGAATTTCTGCATTTGTCTCGTTGAGAGCTTCAAAATGAGTATAAGCATGCAAATATTTGAGCAATTTTCAAAAAAAAAAATCAGAAAATGCGCTCTATTGAGAATTATCAGAAAAATTGTCATAACTTTGTTAGTTTTAACGCTACGCTGATGATCTTTGTGGGATTCACCTTGAAATGTCAAGCTTTCAAATGAATCCAATTTCAATTAAATTTGATATTTTTGGAAAATGCGCTCTATTGAGAAAAACCTAAAAATCGTTACAACTTTGTCAGGTTTAGTGCTAGATGGATGATTTTTGGAGGGTTGATTCAAAACTCACCAAAATTTCTGACTCCCGACATTTTTCGTTTTTGAACACTTTTTCAGTCTTCGGCCGAGTGCATTCAACCTCAAAATAGTCGACAATATCCGTATTTTCCTCTGTGAACAATTCGGATTGTGTATTTCGATTTTCGGAATTCAAAATACAATTCAGTTGATTTTCCTGCAAAAATTGTTTTTAAAGTTGCAAACTCGCCCTATTGGACTTCGTAGCTGCCTCGAAGTGCAACAGAGCGCATTTTCCAGCTATACAAGCGAATTCGCACTAACGAACCTCAAAATAATACATTCCCGAAGTACAATTGAATCCAAACAACTGATAACTGTTGATACACGTGTCGAAACAATGTTCGAAAGAGGGAGAATCAGAAACTGATTCTGCGAATCCAACCAGAATCATTTGAGGGTGTCGGGAGAAGAATGTCGAGGGACAGGTTCTGAAAATAGAAATTTTAGCTAAATTTTGCGACAAAATTCACTTTTCTAGCTAGCCTAGAAGTCGAGACTTAGTTATTCGAAGTTTAGGAGACGCAGACAGCGAGACACTCTAGCTTTCTGCGCCTCTAGCTTGTTTCTCATGAATTTGAGAAAAAAATTTCACATTTTGACACCAAATTCATCATTCTAGCTCAAAAACTGGCTAAGTTATACCTCTTTTACAACAATTGCCAATAGAGCGCATTTTCCAAAATCATCAAATCTATTTGAAATTGCATTCATTTTGAAGAGCTTAAGAGTTCAGTGAAATTAAATTAAAAATCATTAATCTAGCACTAAAACTAACAAAGTTATGACCATTTTCCTAATTTTTCTCAATGGAGCGCATCTTCTCAAAATTATAAAATTTGCTTGAATATAAGCTTGTTCATACTTATTTTAAAGCTCTCAGCGAGACAATTTCGAAAATTTGGTTCGTTTTCAAATTTTGACCAAAATTTACAATAATTATCAATAGAGCGCATTTGCAAAATTTTTCTTGAATTTCAACAAAACTGCTCTCATTTTGAGGCGTTCTAAATTTACGTATCTAGGTTTAAAAATAAGTTTTCTATCTTTGAAATTAACAAAGTTGTGACGATTTTTCTGATTTTTCTCAATAGAGCGCGTTTTCTGGATTTTTCGAAATTCGCTCAAACACAGTTATGATTATACTCATTTTGAAGCTCTCGACGAGCCAAATTCAAATTTCAAGCTTGTTATCGGTTTAGATAAAAACTGACGAGCATAAAAGGAAAACTCACTCCACGAAGTCCTTGGACACACAAATTTTCTCATGATACGATGCCTCATCTTTTTGCTTCAATTGCCCATTTCCCACAGGTACAGCTGCTTCAGAAGTGAACGAACACGTGGACGTGGTTGTGAGGAAGTCGAAGCTTTTGCATGTTAGAGCTACACCGTTAACCTGAAAATTGGTTCAAAATTAGTTTGCATCATAACTCGGTCAGATTTGTTCTAATTCAGATGTAACCTAATTTTTTGAAATTGGCTCGCTGAGAGCTTTCAAATGAATATAAACAAGCCTGTATTAAAGCAACTTTCAAAATTTTGAGAAAATGCGCTCTATTGAGAAAAATCAGAAAAATCATCATAACTTTGTTAGTTTTCGTGCTAGCTTAATGATTTTTGTGTCTATATTATTGAAATGTTAAGCTCTTCAAAGTTAACTAAAATTCACATAGATTTGAATAATTTGGAAAATGCGCTCTATTGACAATTTTTGTGAATTTCGGTCCAAATAGAAAAGTATCTAAATTTTTTGATTTGTCTCGTTGAGAGTTTCAAAAAGAGTATAATCATGCCTATATACAAGCTAATTTCAAAAATGTCAGAAAACGCGCTCTATTGATAAAAATCCGAAAAATCGTCATATCTTTGTTCATTTTGAAGATATAATTGTAATTTTTGAACCTTGGTACGTAAAATTTAAAGCGCTTCAAAATGAGCCTAAGTTTTTAAAAATTTCGAAAACGCGCTCTATTGATAATTCATGTTAGGGGTCTCATTCGGTCAGTTTTTGAGCTAGAACGATGGATTTTGAGTCAAAATGCTTTTTAAAAAGTCTTACCTTATTCTCAATACACGCCTTTGCACATTCAGCCACATCCTCCACAACCATCTCTTGCTCATCATGCTTAAACAGTTCAAATCCTTCAGTTCTCAAAAATGTGGATTGCTTTCCACGTGGACAAGTGTCCAAGGATTCAGAAGATGTGACAACGTCCTCTGGATTCTGGGGTTCTGGAATTTTCTCATCCCTGGTATCTGTATTAGTTGCCAGGGCCTTGATTGGAGATGATGGAGGAGGAGGACTTGGAGGATCCACGTCTTCTGAATCTGAATCTGTATGGGGATCTTCAGAGGGCTTATTGATAATTGATAAGCAATGAACAATATCCGTTGGTTCAAAATAATCACGAGTTTGGAACTTGAGAAGACGTGCTGGAGCCTGGTCGCCGACATGTGCGAACAGATCACAAACCTGAAAAAAAAGAAACATAGGTCATGATTATACTCATTTTAAAGCTCAAATTATGCTGATTTCGAAAATCTTAATTTCGCAAAATTCGAATAAAAACTAACAGAGTTATGACCTGTTTCTCAATAGAGCGCATTTTCTGATAACTGTGAAACTAATTGAAACTAGGCTCATTTTAAAGAGCTTGGAATCTCGTGGACAGAAAATTAAAAATCATCAAGCTAGCACCTAAACTAACAAAGTTATAGCCATTTTTCTATTTTTCTCAATATAGCGCGTTTTCTAAATTTTGTCGAAGTTTGCTTAATCATGTGCATGAGTATACTCATTTTGAAGCTCTCAACGAGACAAATCTAAAAACTCAATTTGTTTTTCATTTTGACCAAAATTCACAGAAATTATCGATAGAGCGCATTTTCAAAAATTTTTGGAAAATTTATCGAAATCATTTAGATTTTAAAGCGTTTTGAATTTCATGTACATAACTGTTGAAATCACTGTTTTATCTCCAAAAAATACCAAGTTATGACGATTTTCATGATTTTTCTCAATAGAGCGCATTTTCTGGTTTTTTCGAAAATTGCTTAAATATGAGCACGATTATACTCATTTTGAAGCTCTTAAGAAGACAACTTCAAAAATTTAGTTTTCATTCAAATCGAACGAAGACAAACCAAGTTATGATAAAAACAAGATTCTCGGCTAGCGTTTTAAACAGAAGCGTTCATAACTCTCTTCGTTTCTGTCCGATTTTTATGATTTTTATATTTCTGGAATTGGCAAATCAAAGGCTTCAAAATGGTTGTAAATTCAATTTGGTCACCAATGTATCCAACTTTATTCTCTTTGTTTAAACTTTGGTATGTCTGAAAAATCTTGTTTTCAACATAACTTGGGTAGTTTTCGTTCAATTTTGATAAACTTTAAATTTTCGAGTTTGTCTTGGTTTGAGCTTCGGAATGAATATAATTATGACCAGCTCTACCAGTTTTAAAGATATTTTCTATTCAATTTTAAGTCGTCTTACTGTAACTTTTACTAAAAATCAGAAATCTCTCATTCGAAGCCGTAAAGATGCTACTTCAAAGTATATACCAAAACTTTTACAACCGACAAAACTATAAAAATCGCTCACCCGATTCACGTTGTCATAAACAAACGATCGACAGGTATAAACACCGATTTGGCTATTCAGACAGTGCGATTTGCAATGGATTAGTCCCGTTGATGAGCGTCTTTCGTACGGCTGCGCGTTCACGACGATCGAGTTCTCGTAGCGACGGAAGCATGGATCGCCTGAGAATAGTTTTATATAGTTCAGCAAAAAAGAAAAAAAAACAGGTTTAGTCCGAGGGGGGAATTGAACCTCGGACCTTGTGGGTGAAAGCCAAAAGCGCAAGCCAATGCGCCACGGTCGTCACTAGAGGGGAAGGAGCGGAGGGCGTATAGGTGAGGGTGGCTTTTGGTGGGTGGTGGTGAGGTGCGCGGCGCCAAAAAATTTCTGTCGGTGTGTCTGTTTGTCCAGAAATTATCACTTTGGACCGAAATTAGTCATTTCAGGGGGTTTTAAAGTCAAATTTTGCTCTGAACCTAGTTTTAGACAAATTTTAAAGGGGGACTCCGACCAAAAATTTTTATTGCCCTAAAATGTGTTAAAATTTATCTATTTTCCTAATATTATTGCGAAAAAATTCAAAAGAAATCCGAAATCCCCGAAAAACGCCGTTGAAAATGAAAAAAATTCAAAAAAGGTGCCGCCGGGGGACGAGGATTTGAATTCCCGCGCAGTGAGAAACCTAGGCCACGGCGCCTGACAGCATTATTTTCAAGTGGCCGACAGTGTTTTTTAATGTTTTTTACCTGTCGGAGATAAAAGCAAAAAAAATCCGGAAAATTTGTACGGTAAGAAAGTCGCGCCGCTCGCGTGGCCTAGGGGTCTCACTGAAAATCCTCGTCCCTCGGCGGCACCTTTTTTTGAATTTTTTTCCTTTTCAACGGCGTTTTTTGGGAATTTCGGATTTTTTTTTTGAATTTTTTCGCAATAATATTTGGAAAATAGATAAATTTTAACACATTTTAATACAATAAAAATTTCTGATCGGAGTCCCCGTTTAACTAGAAAAACTTGAAATTTTTGATTTCCACCGCTCTTTCTCTTCATCTACTCATCTATTTTTCTCTCAAACTCACTCAAATCTGGAATTCCAGCTATAACTTGATTGTGTCCATCAGGATCCCGAGCTTTTTGCATAGAATCTGAGCGATTTTTAGGCTTCCTGGTTGTCGAGAAATATGGGTTGGAATTCGAATTTGTTACCAGGTCCTGCAATTTTTTGGCTACAGTAATCCCCCAGAGTCACTAACTTACTTGCTCATTGAAGATCTGAAAATTCTGAGACTTCTGTTTGTCTTCTTTCCTCAAAATCTCATTCATTCTAGTGAAAAGTGCATCCCCTGAGCTTGTGGTTGTTCCAATTGGAGGAGGTGTGGGGAATCTGGAATTTTAGGTTAAAAACGAGTTCTAGAACTTTCTAAGCATCCATGAATGCTTTAAAAAAAAGCAAAAAGAAATTGGCGAGGCGGGGAGTCGAACCCCCGATGTGAGATTGGCGGGCAAAAGCGCAGCCACTGAGCCAGCGTGTACACTAAGCAATAGAGGCGCTATGGCGTAGACAAGGGTGGCGGCGGCGCCCACCGGTAGGGAAGGCGTGGGCGCGCCAATTCGAAATTTCTTACGTTTGTAAATGATCGTCGGCATCTGCCATTGCGACTTCCTTATCCGTTATATCTTCTATCAAATTTGAGGATTTTGTAGTTGAGAGAAGACATATTAAGAGAAGGATTACTGTATCTTTGAACATCTGAAAAGAAGGAAAATACATTTTTTTGAAAGATAAAATACAGAGAAAGAAGGAAAGAACCGTTCAAAAAGAGGAAGCCGAAAACAATAATAGTAAGAAATTCTCAAAAATCGAGTAAAAACTGATAAAAAGTGATAAAAACTCCTGTTCTCCGCTAGAACTTCTCAAAACACACCACCGCCCTTTCGTGTCTGCGTCTCTCCTTCCCTTTCTTGTACGCACTCTCTCCCCTCTTTACGGTGTGCCCTTATATCTCAGTGGTAGAGCGTTGGTCTTGTAAACCAAAGGTCCGTAGTTCAATCCTGCGTGGGGGCATACTCTTTTGTTTCTTTTTTGGGTTACTGTAATGATGTTAAATGGCTCCGGGAGGGATCAAAAAATGGTTTTCGTGTTTTGGACCAGAGAAAATAAGGGTTTTCTGGGAGAAATAAATAAACGTTTAGAAAGGAGTATTCTTTTGAATAAAAACTGTTTTCATAAGAAAACATATATATATATATATATATATATAATGGGAAAAAAAGATAAAAATCAAAGTGGGTGTCAAGTTATAAACTATTCACACCGTATGGTGTCCCAAATGAGATCAATATCTAGGCATAAAAGTGACAAAATGTACAAGAATCCTTCGTGAATTTTTTTTCCTGTCGCTTAATCCAATACAGTTGACTTGTCGAGAATAAAAGAGGAAAAAGTAGGTCTCCACCTCCTACGAAATTCAATAGAAAAGAAAACGGACGAAGTGATCATTACGAGTTCGTACGGAAGGTGAAAGAAATTTCGGGAAGGAGGGGGCACAGACCAATTAACCTGGACACACATACGGAACGAAACTGTCCTATAAACACAATATGTGTTCATCCAAATAGGTGTAAAAGGGTTTAAAAAGGAGGAAAAAAAGATTTGGCGGCGGTGGGAGTCGAACCAGGGAGGGCGAGATTGGTGGACAAAACTGCAAGCCATTGCGCCACAAGCGTCGCTGAGCGAAATGAGGTGGAGAGTGTAGAAGAGGGTGGCGGCGGGCGCCACTTGCTGGGGAGGGTGAGGGCGAGAAGGGGAAAATTTGAAAAATGATATTTCCGAAAAAATTGAATTTGCGATTTTTTGAGAAATCTATATATTTATTGGGAACTTTTAGATAGCAAATAAGTAAAAATGAATGGAAAATCGGCGAAAAAAAAAAGAAAATAAGGGATTAATATTTTTCTGAAGAATGGAACGGTTCGGGGGATTAATACGGGTGGTTGGGGATGGGGATAAAGAAGAAGGAGTTTTTTTTGAAAGTTCTCTTGTTGTAAAATCTAAGTTGATCCTTAATCCGACTCGTTTTTGGCTTTTTCTGTGGAAACCAAAATTTTCTGGACAGGAACAATAGAGAAAATCGCGATGATTGAGAATTAAATGTTATTTTTTTATTGTATGCACTTTTTCTTATGTTTTTCTAGCTTTTTTTTCTAGCGAAATTGCTCTGAAACGCTTCCAACAGAAAACTCGAATTCAAAAACCCGCGGAAAAGAGACGCGCGGCCGCGCCGGCGGTTTCTCTTCCACCCAACTTCGGCCACTTCCGAAAAATTATTTTTTCGTCATTTCCATCGTTTTTCAAGCAAAAAATGGGTCAGGAACGTTTGGATAATGCAAATCCGGTGCTTTTCGACTCGAAACCACGTCATCGACCGGTAACTGGCACCGAACGGTGGGTTTTTAAGCGAATTTTGGCCGAAAAATATTTTTTGCAAAAATTAATTTTTTTTCAAATTTCAGCGACGAAAGCGTTGAAGATCCAATTGATTCATGGGAGATTTTTGATCTTATCCGTGATATTAACGACCCGGAGCATCCATATACCCTGGAACAGTTGAATGTGGTTCAGGAGGAGCTGATCAAAGTTTTTATCGATGAAGAGGAGACTTTTGTTAAGGTTTTAACCTGAAAAATATGATTTTTAAGCATTTAAATCGTTAAAAACTGCTAAAAATCCAAAATTTAGGCCCAGAAAGTTGGAATTTTGGCCGAAAAATGAAAGTGTCGATTTTTCAGCATTTTCAGCCAAAATTCCGGTTTTTATCGCTGAAAAAGTTGAAATTAACGTTTAAAAATACGAAAAACAGCTGGAAACCTGAAATTTTAGTCTAGAAAAAGTAATTTTCAGCTGAAAATCAAGATTTTTGAAAAATTCAAATTTCGCGCCAAACCGAAATTTTCTAAAAAATTCAAATTTCTGCAGGTAAACTTCACACCAACTATCCCCCACTGCAGTATGGCGACACTCATTGGTTTGGCGATTCGAGTGAAACTATTGCGGAGTTTACACCCGAAAATCAAAGTTAGCGTATCGATTACGCCCGGATCACACTCCACAGAGGAATCTATCAACAGACAGTTGGCTGATAAGGTTTTAAGCTAAAAATAAGCTCAAAAATCGAAAATTAGAGATTTTTTGACCCTAAAAAAGTGAAAAAACCGACAAAAATGGTCCAGAAATAAGGGATTTAAGCCAATTTTTGGGGGTTTTAAGCCAATTTTTGGGATTTTCAGGTCAAATTTTGTGAGTTTTAGGCCAATTGTCAGTAATTTTTAAGTATTTTTCCCAAAATTTTCTCAGAAATTTCTGTAATTTTTAATCGAAAATTTGGGATTTTTAAGTTCAAAAATTCTGATTTTTAGCTCTAAAATTTGTCATTTTCAGCCAAATTTTTTGGGATTTTTTCCCCAATTTTTCCAGAAAATTCTGTAATTTTTGACCGAAATTTTCATGCCAAAAATCTGGATTTTGAGCTCAACATTCGTTATTTTCAGCCAAATTTCAAGCATTTTCAGCTCATTTTTAGCCTATTTTTCTCGGATTTTTGGCTCAAAATTCGTCATTTTCCCTCCGATTTTCAGATTTTTTGTCCGAAATTTCTGTGATTTTCGCCCAGAAAATTTGGGATAAAAAAAGTGGATTTTGAGCTCAAAATTCGTCATTTTCAGCCAAGTTTTAAGGATTTTCAGCGTTTTTTTTTCTGATTTTTTGCCAATTTTCAGGATTTCTAGGCCAATTTTTGTGATTTTCAGCTCATTAGTTGCCTAATTTCTCCCCGATTTTAGGATTTTTTTTTCAAAAATCCTTAAATTTTAATGATTTTTTGCAGGAACGTGTCGCGGCGGCAATGGAGAATCAAGGCTTGATGCATGCTGTAAACGAGTGCTTGAGAATTCCAGAATAATCGATAATTTGGCTGAAAATCCCCGTTTTTTCCAAACGTTTTTTTCCAATTTTTCCAATAAAACTGTGATTTTTTTTGTCGTATTTTTTGCTGATTTTTTTTGGTTATTTTTCTCGAAATTTCGATGATTTTTCATATTTTCAAATTGCTGAAAATCCTATTTTTGACGATTTTTAAGCCAAAAAATGCTGAAAAAGCTCGAAAATTCTGGAATTTTCGGGAAAATTCGAGATTTTTCAACGAAAAAAGCGGCGAAAGGGAATTTGAATCGGTTAGTTTTTTAGCTGAAAATTTGAATTTTTGCTTAAAATTTCAAAAATTTGGCTGAAAATTCTAAAAATTGAAAATTTTTTTTCGTTATTTGACTCAACAATTCGCTGAAAACGCTAAAATTTTCAGAAAAAATCATAAAAATTTTTTTCAAAAATTCGAAAAATTGGAAAAAAAATTTTTTCAAATTTTCGAGTTTTCGAAATTTTAAAAAAATCTAGAATTTCCAGAATTTGAGCTCGATATTTTCGAATTTTTTCAAAATTTTAAGCTCTAAAATTTGACTGAAAATTGAAATAATTGAATTTTTCAAAAAAAAAATTTTTTCCGATTTTTGACTGAAATTTTCCCAAAAATCTGTAGAAATCGCTGAAATTTATGAATTTTTTCACTGAAAATGTCCAAATTTTCAGAAAAAAAATCATTAAAATTTTTCAAAAATTCGAAAATTTGAAAAAAAATTTCTGAAAATTTCTTTTTTTTCAAATTTCGACTTTTTGAAATTTTAAAATAATTTGAAATTTTCGAATTTTCAGAATTTCGAGTCTAAAATTTAGCACTTTGAAAAAAAAACTGAAATTTTCATCGTTCAAAAAAAAAATTTTTCGATTTTTTAGCTAAAAATTCGTTGAAAATGTTCAAATTTTCAGAAAAATTGAAAAAAAAATTTTTCTGAAAATTTCAATTTTTTCAAAATTTTCGATTTTTTTTTGATTTTTTTTCTAATTTTTAGCTCAATTTTGGCATATTTCTAATCGAAATTATCGATTTTCCGGAATTTTGATTGCAAAATCTCGAATTTTCCCCGAAAATTCAAATTTCCAGCTACATCCAACGCCAATCCACTGACGAATTCACTGTCAAAGCGCGCGAGCACAATTATCGTGCTCGAAGCGCCTTTAAACTAATCGAAATCAATGAGAAATTCAAATTCCTGCGACCAGGGATTACTGTAGTTGATGTGGGATGTGCACCCGGGTCATGGCTGCAAGTTGTAGTGGATAAATGTCCGAATGGATATGCATTAGGGCTGGATTTACAGGTAATTAGGGGGTAATTAGGCTTAAAATTCACAAAAATCAGCCTAAAAAACCTAAAAATTCCCATAAAAATCCTAAAATTTGGTTTTAAAATCCAAAAATTGGCCTAAAAATCCAAAAATTTGGAATTTTCAGCATAAAATTACCCAATTTCGGCTGAAAATCCTCAATTTTCAGCCAAAATGCTGAAATTTTTCACTTTTTTTAAAAGGGAAAAATCCCTATTTTTAAGCTCCGCCCCTTTTCCAGAACGTTCTACCCATCCGCGGTGCTGACATCCTATCGCAATCCGACGTGACGTCGCCAGAAATTCAGGCGAAAATTCGAGAAAAACTACAAATGCGGCAGGGTACTGTAGACGTAGTGCTGAGCGACATGGCGCCGAATCCGACGGGAGACAGTGAAACCGATCATTTAAGGCTTATCGATTTGTGTCGAACCGTTTTTCGATTGTTTTCCAAGGAGAATACGGTAGAAAACGCATTTGAATTGAGCAGGAAAAACGGAGTATTTTTGTGTAAGGTTAGTGCGAAAAATTGGGGGAAAATGGCTGGAAAGGAGATGGACCCTGGACCCTGGACCCTGGACTATAGCTGGTCCTCGACGGTCCGTGTTCGATTTGCGATCTTCCGATTTTTTCTGGAAATTTCTAGCTGTAGCTGGTAGAGTCCGATGAACCTAGGCCATCTAGATTCATCTAGAGCCGTCCAGATCCTTCTGGAATGTTCTAGAGGAGCTGGAGGGCGCTATACGCCTGATAGACGGAGCTGAGCTGAGCTAGATGGACCCTGGACCTGGAGACGCGTCTGAGTCTTGCTGGCCGAGCTGGATAAAGCTAAGTCACGTCAAGGCGATGCTACCAGCGTGATCTAGACGTGCCTGGGTTCTGCTGACCTAGTAGCTCATAGAAGTTCAGCTTGCCCCATAACTGGAAATCTAGGTCATGGCCTAGAAAGCTCAAGAAGCTAAATTTGGGGATGTTTGGCTCAAAATCTGTTATTTTCAGCCATTCTTTCCCCCAATTTTCAGATTTTCTGAAATTGGCGAAAATTCTAAGAATCCTAATTTTGTTGCAGATCTGGGATGGAAGTGGACGTGGCGAGTTCGTTCGAGAGCTCTCCGATCGATTCTCGATGGTCAAAACGATGAAACCGATGGCTTGTCGGGATATGAGTGCTGAATTGTATTTGTTTTGTCGGGGATTTAGATAATTGATGTTTGTAAATAAAATAGTTTTTTGAAATAATATATTTTTTGGACTTTTGGGCTCTTAAAGCTTGGTTTTATCTACCAAATTGTCTATTTTTTCTGTATTTTTTGGTTTTTTTTTCAGGTTTTTAAAGCTCTTTGTTGGTATGCGTAGCTACATTTCAAAATCGAAGACACGACCCAAATCATCATAAAATTGGATTTCTAGGACATGACCTACGTTTTTCTGATTCTGGATTTCTAGGCCGCGACCTTTTTGGGTTTTCTAGACCATGACCTACATTTCGGTTTTTTTTGGCCTGGCCGACAAAACCAAAATTTGGTTTTTCTAGGTCATGCCCTAGATTTTTCATTTTCTAGATTTCCAGGCCATGACATAAATTCAAGTTATTGAAAAA